GGTTCATGCGACAGCTTTGCCGCAGCGCTGGAACTGCTTGCTTTGAATACAGTGGCGTACAATCTATTTGAGCCCTGCCCGTACTACCCAGGCTCTTAATCCAGGTAATTAGTTAGATTAGATTAAGTGCGGCTTTATGCTGGCTTGCTGATGACATCCAAGACCTCCTTCCTTCCCGAGCTTCCCAATCCCAGCCCCAGAAAGATTACCCCTCCATCGATGCCCGCCCGCCCATCATCTTTGCAGCTCCACTGTAGGTCCCTACTGTAATTTTTCGCACAGGTTCACGAAATGAAATCCTGGCAGCCTAGGGAAGTGCCGGTTCCGCTCATGCCCTCGGTCTAGACTACCAACCATAGAAACGCACCTGAAAGGAAACCTGCATTGCATTTGGGACTTTCCGTACCGTACCCGCTTCCAGCTAACCTGTTGAGTGTATTGGTGTTTTTAATACGACTCGTTACATTGATACATAACCTCGACTCACCCACTTTGGACAAACTATCCCAATTGGAATCTGTCGCTTTTGAACAGCGCTGAGTATTCTTGATCTTTCAGCTCCTACTCTTCCAGCCGAGAAACAACTCTTTGTGATTAATCGCTATTATCACAATCGAGATGGATACTGTTATCAACATGGCCGATGCCGCACACGCACTGGATCTTGCTCGAATCCGGTTCCAGCTAATGTACGAGTCACCCAATTCCACACAAGTTGCATTGCTTGGCTCCAAGGTTCGGTACTGACAGTAGAAGTCGACTCGAGGATACCATCACTTTCCATTTGATTGAAAGAGTGCAGTTTGCATTGAATAGTGTCAGTGGGATATGGGACCCCCCATCAATCCCCGTCCAGCCAAGTATAGGCAATTAACTGTGACTTTCTAATAGACAATCTATGTCCCTGGAGCTGTCGAGCTTCCAGAAGCGAACCTGAGCTTCCTCGACTGGTACTTCCGCGAGCAAGAAAAGCTGCAATCTCTAATCCGACGTTTCGAATCCCCTGACGAGTACCCTTTCTTTCCCGACGCTCTGCAGAAGCCAATTCTCAAGCCTCTCAACTACCCCAGAATCCTATATGAGAACGACGTCAATGTGAACGACAAGATTAAGCAGTTCTACACGGAAAAGTTCCTTCCCGCAGTGTGCCCCGACTTCGGCCGCGAGGAGCGGGGCGAGTCCCAAGAAAACTACGGCTCGACCGCAACTTGCGATATTGCTTGCCTACAAGCCTTGTCACGACGTATCCATTTCGGTAAATTTGTCGCCGAGTCCAAGTTCCGTTCTGATCAAGAGAAATACATCCGACTTATCAAGGCAGAGGACCGAGAGGGTATTGCAGAGTCCATCACCAATGCTGCTGTGGAGAAACAGGTTCTTGAGCGGCTACGACTTAAGGCTTTGACATACGGAAAAGACCCCAGTATTCCAGATGGCACAGAAGGAGCGGCAAAGATCAATGTCGATGCCGTTGTTTCAATGTACAAGGACTTTGTTATCCCGTTGACCAAGGAAGTGGAGGTAGAATATTTAATGCAGAGGCTGGAGCCGGACGCCTAATGTTCGACTATTGCGCAGCGCTCAAATATTCATTAACAGACTTGACCGCCGCAGGGAATTTGCTTGCTTCAACAAGGATCATGTGCCCATGCGCCTTGACGCCCATTTCCTGGAATGCCCGCTTGCTGTCTGCTGCTAGTTCGTCCTCTTTTGTGTAGTTGAAGTTTCCGTGCGCGACCGCATGCTTGTGTAGCACCTCGTCCTCCATATGGAAATAATACATGCCGGCTTCCTCCTTGGCCTTCTTGCGCTTCTGGTTTTCAACATCGAGTTTCGACTCAAGCTCCTGATATGTCTTGGACAAGATCAAGTAGTGGGAGAAATTGTAAGGCTCCTTGTCTTCCACAGCCGCTTCAACCTCGTCGACAAGCATCGAATAGAGTGGCGGTGCTAGCTCGGAAGGCATATTGATGAGACGTTCGGAGAACACGAGTCCGACATGCTTGTTGCTGCTGAGGACATCTGCAATGGGCGCTAGGGACGAATTGGTTTGCGCCTTCTCCACAAGGTATTTGATGATATCCTTCATTGGCTCCTTATCTTGATGAACAGCCGTATTAAGGACGGTGAGAAGGGCGTAGGCATCGTTGGCCTTGCCATCAACCTTGATGGTTGAACCAATGGTGGGTTGTGAAAGAACGAGATCGGCGAGGGCAGACATATTGAAAAGATTCGCATCAACATCGAATAGTTGTCGCAAAAGCGTCTTGGTTCCATGGAAATCAACCTCAGGATCGAAGTTGAACCACTCGAAGTCGACGTTGACCATATCGAAATCCTAAATTTCCAGTTAGGAGGACGCCAGTACGCCATTATCGAAGTTTGCCTACCTCGTCATCTGAACTGTCCTCATCCATCATGTTAACGTCCGCAGGCGGGACGTCCTTGCCCTCTTCACGCGCACGCTTCTTGCCCATTTTGAAGTTTGTGTATAGTTGCGAGGTTGAGTTACTGGTAGCAAAGATGATTCCTCGGCTGTTGAGAGTGTTACTTCAAACTGGCGCAAAAATTGGCAGGTCAAGTTCACTTAATAAATCTTAAATTCCTTCACCGGACAGTGATGTCGCCAAAACATTTTCTGTAAGCCCCTCACTAACCTCTTAAAGACCTGATAAGATAACCAATGTTCTGGTCTAAGCTCCCGGGCCAACACCTCCACTTGTCTGGCTGAATTGGATTGACTTACTCCACCCCCGTCGTTCCCCGTCCGTCCCTACCGACCGCCGACAACTTAGGCTTGGACCTCGTTGCGCGCAACATAACGCAACGTCATTCTTTCAGCTTCTCTTCCCCATCAACAATTCTTCAGTCCCTATAGTCGCTATTTTCTATCGGCAATACCTTATTCGCGATGGACTACAGCTCCACGATCCACGACGTCGAGGATCCCGCCGGCGATTCGCCCTGGGGCAACTCCCCTGTGTCTTCTCCATCGCGAAACAATGCTGCTGCCTTCAACCCCGTCCCAGCCGAGAATCCTCCTCCTTCTCCCTTTCGCTTCAATACACAGCCTTCGAACGGCCTATCTCAAGAACAGTCTACAGCTCAGCCCGGAGAGCTCCCCCGTCCAGGCACTGCAACCACAGCGTCTGGAACTGAAGATGACACCGAGGCTTCGGGGACGCTGAACCCTACAGAGGCGCAGTCCCAGTCGACAACCGCTGAACTACCGACCGATGGCCATGGACAACCCACGACCCAGGGTCAACAAAACAACCAGACTGGTCAACCAGCTTCGCAGCATGGACAAGAGCAACCTCTGCAAAAGCCAGCTGGACCTCAGTTCCGGCTTCAGGCCAAGATAACAGGACTTGAGCGTACTGGCAAAAAGGACCCCATCTTGCGTTTTGATGTTCATGTATGAGTATGATTATCTGGTTCCCAGTATTGGACTGACAGTTGTAGACAAATATTTCCCGCTTTCGTACAACTCAATTTCGCGATGTTCGCCGTTTGCACTCCGAGTTTGTTAAGCTCGCGGAACACCTGATATCTGCGAATCCGGAGGTGTTTGTTCCTGCGGTACCACCACCTTTGACTTCCGCTGGAGCTGGTACGGATGAGGACGAGATTCGTGTCAAAGCCCTGATGCAGCGATGGTTAAACTACGTTTGCAGCAATGAAATCTTGATGCGAGATGATGAGATGGTGTTGTTCGTGGAAAGCGACTTTGGCTACAGTCCTATGGTCAAGAAGAAGCAGCCCGCGACAGGTGTGCGCAGAAAAATCTTGAAGCAGTTTGCTCCTCCTCCTGACGACACTCCTGAGCTGGCGGATGCAAGGCCAACCGTTAAACTATTTTATCTGGGGAGCATGGATGCGGGCCATAAGGTTGATAAGCTGGTTAAAGCCAGGAGAGGTAAGATTTGTTTGTACTATCAAAGTGCAGAATGCTAAACGTCGCCCTAGGTCTTGGTCTCTCCGAAGCCGATTATGGTTCTAAACTTGCAGGTATGCACGTCCAGGAACCTCATCCTGGCTTGGCCAACGCCTACCGAAAGCTTGGTAAAGTTGTTCAGACTGTTGGTGATTACCATGCTGCCCAGGCAACAGCAGAGGCCACGACGGTTGGCGATCCATTCCAATATCATTCCCAAGATGCTTTCATCGTCAAGGAATCCCTTACCAACCGCCAAATCCTAATTCGGGAATTTTTACAAGCGCAGGAGGCCACTCGCAGCAAGCTCAACGCAGCTGACCGCCTTAAGGCCAGCTCGAGTGTGCGTCGGGAGAAGGTGGACGAGGCTATTACAGCGCTGGATGATGCTCGCCAGCACGAGACTTGGCTGTACAATAAAACCAACCGCGTGACCCAGAACCTAGTACAGGAGCGACGAAAATGGTTCTCAAGAACATCTGCCGATCTTCGCCTAAGCATCAGGGAGTACGTACTCCGCGAAATTGAGGCTGAAAGGCGAACCCTGGCCCTGCTCGAGACAGTCCGCCCAGACATTAGATCAATCGATGCTTCGGGCGGTCTGAGCCGATTAGGCCGGGAGGCGCATCCAACTGTGCGTCGCTCGAGCCTCGCGGCCAGTCAAGGTCCCAAGGGCGACTCTTGGAGCGGCGTTCCTCGTCGTTCAGATGCCACGGGTCGCAGTGTGTCTGGCAGTCTTATCAGCAAGGTGTCAGAGGAGGGCGAGAGTGAAGAGAACGCCGAGGCCGCCCAAGGGCTTCAGGCTGCCGGTCGTACAGGCCTTCAAGGCGTTAACGAGGAGGACGATGAGGATCGAGTGGATGCTAGAAACGCTGCGAGTCGACTGGCCGCCAGCACTTTCTGAGCTCCTTTGCTGGAACGCTTACGGATGACGAACAAAGAACTTTGCATCAGACTCATTCCTCTTTTCTCTTTTTTGATAGCATCGCTCCGAGCCTGGTGTTATTTGAAAGTGTATGGTTTACCTTTGTCTCTGGTACCCTTCTACTTTGTGTGTAAGGCCTCATAACTTGCATTCGACGCTGTGACGTGTCTTAATGAACCGTACGCAGTAATTGGCACCATTGACGTTGATAACAGCACTGCTCTTTGGTACACTACCAGCATCTACCACCTGCTGTCCGATCTTTGAAGTGATAAGCGGTGTGTGGACTGGCTGGGTGAGGGATGCGTAGGTTTCAGCTTTCGATTGCGGATGTGAAGTAGATCTATCAGGACAGAGTTTAGATAAGCCCGTCATAATCAAAACGTCGCAGACAGCGACTGAGAAGTATGTTTCATTATTCACATGAGTTTTTTTTTCGCTGGTGTTCACAGACCTCGAAAAGATAAAGAGGTTTAAACCTATTGGACGTTTCTGCTCAACCCCGGATATCGGTCTGGAAGAAACCCAAAATCTATGTTCACCGATGTAGATTCACAGGATAGCACATGCACGCAGCGGTCGTACATAACAACTGCTTGAGACCGTTACGCGAGTGCCAATTGCATATGCGTAATACCCACCCAGCTAACTTACTGTGCCAATATGCTTGCTACATGTGACACAGCATAAAGAAATATGTAAAGTCAGTCAAGTCTACAGTCGATCTTGCAGGAAGAATATGGCGACTGACATCCATGTCTGGTACCAATGCCATTCTAAATGGAGCCTCCCAGCGACAAATTGACCGTGTCATTGTCCCTGGCATGTTAAAAGTTTCCAATGACATTCTACTGAAGTATCAAGATATATGCCCAAATGGCTGGTTATGTCTGTATACTTGTCATGATATTCATGTGAAGGGAGAGAGAGGCTCGTGAGGGGATACCCGATGAAGGTGGGGATAGGGCCAGAACAAGTGTACTTTTACGCCTAGAAGCATGAGTGTGCACGCCTCTGTGCATGCATACTCGGCAACATTCAAAATGCAGGCAAGCTGCAGTAGTCAATGATGTGATGGCATCGATAGGATTTCTCCTGTCATTTTGCAGCATAATACTGTTAGAAGAGCTGGTGCGGGATTGTCTTCAGACAATCTTTGTGACTTGCTCATATTGTCAACCATTCATTTGTTCTGTTGGGATCGGCTCATCGACAATTCGTCAGGTCGTTTGATGTGTTCAAGATGTTGAGTGGCGGTGAGAGGAGCCAAAGTTTTCCATGATTCCTTCGTACCATAGTAGTATGTATGCTCGATGTGTTTTATACGGGCACGGCTAGTCTTTGAGAGCATTGATTTGGACAGCATCGACCAGAACTGTTTGTCGAGACCCAGAATCGTGACCTTTCACCACGGAAGCAATGGGGCCGCACTCCAACTTGGCAACTGGTCTGTGAATCATGGCCATTCTGATCAATCGACTTTGTCGGTAATTCGGGCGCTGATAACCTCGCATTAAGCCTGAATCGAAACTAGCGAGTCTGTGTCATTGGAGGTTTTTAGCCGTGTTGATAGTTATCAGGGTTTGGCTTGACATCCTTGGGCCCTGGGCATTGGCCTGAGGTTGTTGACCATGCCATACCCAGGGGTTGGGATGAAGCAATGGAACCCCAAGTGCATGGATCTCATCATGTCTCATGCATCTAGAGAAGCTTCAACCTTGAGATGGCGCAATGGAGAGATAGCCATAACAAACCAATCAAACACGCCAATCGAGAACGGAACATTTCATCCTCACGAAAAGCCGAGGTTTTATGAGATGACCGCGCAGTCTCGGCACTTAGCCTGCCAGATTTGAACCAAGCTGAAGTTTGCGGCAAGAGCGGCATTCGAGAGTATTTCCTGACGCCTGAATGGAGCAGACTGTCGAAGAAAGATCAGGCCTTGAATTATCGTGGACCCAGTTTTGGACAAAAGAAGATGAGTGCAGATGGAACTAGTACAATGCGTGCGTGCTGCGAGGTTCGTCTTGCATGTGTCGTCTTGCTGGAGAGATTAGGCGCAATCGCAGCAGCTTCTGTTAATGTAATGATCCTTGGTTACGCATATCGTTCCGGGCGGGATGAGCAGCTCCAGATTTGGACATGATATCTCTCCCCTCATCTCCAGACAACAGATCGTCATGAAGACAACCATATAAATAAAGAAGGCGGATGCATCCATCTCCCCCCGTTACTTGGAGGGTTGGATTATGGGGTATGGGGTTCACTCACTGGGAATCCCTGTCAACTATAAATGAGAAGGAGGGATGATAGAACTTAATAAGGGCCGAATCAAAATACCTTGTTCTCTCGCGTGGCAGAATGGGCTATTGCCTGGCCCTTGTTAACGACCGACAGCTTGACGAAGATGACAATAAACGTTTTTAATACACGGTAATGGCAACCGATGCTTATCGGATTGTCCCAGAAAGATGATTAACAGAAGAAGAGAATTTTTAAAGATCAATTTACGACAGGCTAAAATGGGTACGGAACATGGATCTTGGACAAAACCATCCACTTGCCAAGTACAGACAGTAGTAGGGTTATCGAGAAGTGTGCCTTTCCGAGGTGTTGTTCGATGAAATGAAGACACCTCCGATTGGTGAACGCACAAGGTACCCAGCAGCAAAGAGCTACCCTGACGGAGGCAAGCATCTCAACCTTGGTGGCTACATTTGTCAAGAGCTGTGATCTCCTTTCTCTAAACTTCAATCCTCTCATAGGTAGTTCATGGCAAGAGTTGCAAGAGGCTTGTACAGAACGGATTGAACCACTAGAAGGCTTGGCCCTTCAGCTTACAGATGATGGTTGTTGATCAACAAAAGTGGTATTAACGATGAGTTTGGCCTGAACTAAACAGCATCTGCAAACATAAATACAACCGCCATTCGAAACTTACCAGTTTTGAGATTCACTTATTCAATCATTTCTATATCATGTCAATGACTCCGACTTCAAGCTAACAAAGGCATAGACCAGGGTTTAGTCTTGTGCAGAGACCGGCAAGTTCCTCCTGCATAATAGACGTCAACAACAAACACCCTGCAACCATTCTATCTTCACATTACCATGCCATGCCACTCACTCACCGCGATATCGGGCAGGACAGGAGCCATCCCATAGTCCTGTCAGTGCTTGGCTCGGGACTGCAAGTCCCATGGTCCCCGGTCCACCTGGCCGTCTTCCGTTGCAAAGATATGTAACAGTATCTACGGCACGCTCGTCGTCACAAATGACGATCTTGTTTCCTCGTTGAAGCGGGCACCAGTCATGGTCCCCAATCGTTAGATCTCGACGCTCTTCAATACACCTTCTGGTAACGCTCTTTATCAGTTAAGACAGTGCCATGACGGATACGTCTTCTATCTCATTCGACACAGAGCCAACGAGACAGACTTACTGCAGTGCGTTGACCAAACGCTGGCTAGGAGAGCCCTGGAAGGCCAACGCCGCTAAAGGACCCTTGGTAACTAGCGTGCCCCATATCTGCATGCGAGACGAGACGGACGCCCGCTCTGAGAGAACTTCGACTGCAAAACACCCACCAATTCAAGTCTTTTGGCTCGGCCCTGGTCAACGCACATGTGGCTCTGCCGGTACGCCACTGCCATCATGCTAAATCCTGCAGCTAGTAGATTGTTACAGGGCAACAATTTACGGAAACTCTTTGTTTTCCGCCGATAGCTTGTTGATCCCTGACTGGGCCTCTTTCTGTCGTTTCAGACGCCTCTGGGCGCCTACCACCTTGGCATTGAGCAAATTGACGATAGCACACGCCCTGACTCCCGATTACTCTGTCTAAATTCGGATTCATCTGGTCAAACTTCCGGGAGAAGTTGGAGAGGTCTTATCTGCCTACTTAAGGGATGGTGGCCCAGCTTTCGTAATTCCATTTCATTCTCCTGCATCCAAAGAGTATCAGGTTCTGTTACCTGTCCAAATTGGTTCCATCATTTGCACCAGAACGGCCCAATTCACCTCCTTTTATTTTTATTTTTTAAACACCGGCCTGGCTAAGCACTTGGCACGTGAAGCACGTCCACAAACTATCCCGGACCTTCACCCCCACGCGCTCGTCAACTCCCACGTTTCTACTCTGCCCACGAGCCAATCCGCTTTGCTGAGATTACCCCAAACGGCAACTGGTCAAGCCATCGACCAACTTCAAGCCTCCATTCTTAATCAATATCCCACATTTATCCCACGCTTCAAACATTACTCTCAACAGCTATGGCCCCAGTTGCTGCGGGAGAGACCGCCTCGGCGCATCTTCCCGTTGGTCCCTCAAAGCCGTTGAGTATCAGCGCTTCTGTCTTGCATGGTCCCCGCGATCTGCGGATGGTAAGTCAATCATGACAACTGCCCCAGTTATAGACCCAGCCCTACCCGAACACATGCCTGACGCGACGTGCATCAGGAAACTAGGATCATTGAGGCTCCAGCAGCAGGTGAGCTTCAGATTGCTATCAAAGCAACAGGTATCTGCGGCTCAGATGTTTCCTACTACAAGAAATTCGCCAATGGCGATCTTTGTGCCTGCCATCCATTATCCTTGGGTCATGAATCTTCAGGCGAAGTTGTTGCTATCGGTCCGCAAGTGAACGGCTTCAAGCTGGGAGACCGAGTTGCTCTTGAGGTTGGCGTTGCTTGTGGGAACTGTGGTACTTGCCGTAAAGGTCGGTACAATCTGTGCAAAAAGCTGCGTTTCAGGAGCAGCGCCAAAACCTATCCTCATTACCAAGGCACATTACAAGAGAGGATTAACCATCCTGCCGTTTGGTGCCATAAGTAAGTCTAGTATGGCTCCTACGACGATAGTTATTTCTAACGTGCTCAGGCTTCCAGATAACGTCTCGTATGAGACCGCCGCTCTGCTTGAACCATTGTCTGTGGCTATTCATGCAGTGAACCGTGCAAGACCAGAGCCTGGCTCTACTGCTCTTGTTATCGGAGCCGGCACCGTTGGATTGCTGACTGCCGCAATGGCTCGCCAATCAGGCTGTACCTCAGTGACTATCACCGATATTGACGCTGGTCGTGTCAACTACGCCGTCAGCCAAGGATTCGCGACGCACGGGTTCGTGACTCCCATCTCACGTTTGAATTCGTCCAACTATTCTTCGGGAATATCTACACCTGCCACTGGTACCTTGACACCTGCCAGCACGTTCTCGACGGCAAGCCGCTTCGACGGAGCAAAATCTCTGGCTACGGACATACTTGCCTCTTCGAACTCCCCTGGCTCATTCATCCTTGAAGAGGATGAGGACGGCGTCGATGTCACATTTGAATGCACTGGAAAAGAGGTTTGTATGCACACAAGCTTGTACGCAACCAAAGCTGGTGGTAAAGTCATCATGGTAGGCATGGGAACTCCTATCCAGACTCTCCCTCTGTCGGTGGCCCACCTTCGTGAGATTGACATTTTGGGCGTATTCCGATACTCCAACACTTATCCTACCGGAATTCGGCTATTATGCTCCCAAGCTGCGAATCCATCTGGCTGTGGTCTGCCTTCACTAGACGGCATGGTGACGCATCGATTCAAGGGACTTGACAAGGCACAGGCGGCTTTTGAGCTTGCGACACGCACCAGCGATGATGAGGGCAACCTCGTTTTGAAGATTGTGATTGAAGCATGAAGCATCTTTTCTCGTTTATTTTGCAATGCGATACGAAAGATAGACATAGATATCCAGGCAGCAGTATGTTTTAGTAGCACGTTCTCGAAGGTCTTTGGAGTTTAGATATTTGTTTCCGGAAGTCTTCTTAGTCGCACGGTCCCAGATTAGGTTTAAAAGGTCGATAATTTCTCAAAACGATGCCTATCAATTGTTCCAACTGTTTCGAAGAAAAATTGTGAACTAAACACAGAGTTCGTGAAAAGGTAGTGAGGTGAACACTCTAGTATCAAGATATCTATTCTGGTTTCACAGCCAGACCGTTGAAACTTCATCTGGGTATCAAGGGGCCTTCGGCTACTACACTACTTGCTGAGAGATAGTCTGGCCATTCTTCATGATGTTTTTCCATTCGTTATCTACCTCAAACACCTAACGCCGGGCTGAAATCTTCCGCAGCAAACTCATCGTGGCCGTCAGATTCGTTGTGCTTTGAATCTCGCTCGCAAATGAATAATTGTCTTAGAGTAGAATGTCACCAGCCCCACGAATATTATATGACGGGTCAGAAAACTCCTGGCCAGAGCCAGGACCAGGGCCAGGACCGGTCCCCCGGCGATGGCTAGCCTTTGCAGTCTCAACGACGTGAAACTTCTTACCTACGTCGCGGGCTTGACCGAGGTTTTGCACAATACCGTTGAGTAGTCTCACTAGGTTCACGTCATTCGCCTCGTGGAGCATTTCTCGCTCGAAAGAGGCTTTGTCAGAAGGAATAACAAGATCCAGGCGGCTCACAAGAGCCTGGATTTGACGCAGAACGGTTGATGAAGGTGTGGTGTAATCAGTCTCCATACTGCTGGGATCAGTTGTATCACCGTTGACGTAAGAAGGAGGGAGACGCTCGAGATATGTGGTGAGCAGGCGAATTCGGGACTGGAGCATCTTGATGGCATTCGCCTTTGCGGTCAGGGCGGCAATCATCTCGTCCTCCTCTGGTGTAAGTGCATCGTCGTCCTCTTGAGCAAAGTCCTTAGTCTCTTCATCTTGGCTCTCGACAAGCCGGCGCTTTCCTTTGCCGTTCGACTCAATAGATAGAGAGGGCTTGTCGTCCTTGGGGGCGGCGACAGCGGCGTTTCCTCCTGAAGCAGCCACATAATTCATGCTGATCATCTCGGTCTCGCCAGTCTCAACAGAGTAGGGCAGCTCTTTGAATTTGAGTTTGAGTGTAGGCTCTCCATCATCCATCTTCTTATCCTCGCCATCGTTATCGGTTTTTGAATCGTCGACCTCGTAATTGCTTTCGTAGATAGTGAGGGGAAGCTTGCCGCCAACGGAGTGGTCGAGAACCTGCTCGGGATGGAAGCCAAGCAGTACGGCTGACTCATTCCAGCCTTGGAGAATTTGATTATGGATGGGGAGGATAGTCGGGGTGGGGCCTGAAGATGGTAGGAGTGTGTACCATCCAACGAGGTCGAGTTGTCTATCTTTGTGGACGGTGATCACTTGTTTACGGTTAGAGAAATAGGACAGCGATTCATGCGGGATGACTGACTCTGTTCTAGGCGTGTGCTGAACCGGTCACCATCGAGGAGGTAACCGCCTTGTGCACTGGGCTCTTGGCGAGTATGAGCTTCGAAAGCATGCTCGATTGTGATTTCGCGACCATTTTGCTGACCCAACAAGACGCCAACGATGGGGCCTTCCTGCTGGCGAAGTGTGTGCCGTGTGATATAGTCGGAGATGGTGAGAAGGACGAGAGGGTGAAGGACTGCCTGAAGCTCTGAACTCTTCTGGTTCGAGAGAAGAGGATTGGCGGGGTTCGTGGTGGTGGTAGTCATGACGAACGAGCTGTGAGAAGTAGGCCGGCTGGTTGTGGACCGACAGTGTTTGAAATTCGAAAACGGTCGTGGAGATTGGGCGGTGAGGACTAGTAGGGGTGTTTTAGATTAAAAGGTCTGGTGTTGAGCGAAGCTATCGTTAGCTTGGCCGATATAGCGTAAAGATGATGAAGGTGAGTTGAAGTGGATTGATGGGAACAACAATGCCCCGCGCTTAGTATAGCTTCAGCTCCAGCTCCAGGCTGCTATTAGCGACAGGTAGTAGGTACCTACCTGTAGTAGGCATCTATGGGTAGCCCGAGGCTAGTAGTCGGCACCTACGTAGGCGATTTAAATGTGGGGGATTTGAATTTCCATGTCAGGTCAGGTCAGAATTCAATTTCCACTTTAATTCGATCTGAGTTGTCTCAGTTACATGGCGACCCTGGATTTTGCCGCCATTTGGGGTTTGTTTTGGGGGAGATGGACAAAACAAAAGTTTTACTTTGTGCTTTGAGTACCTTGAAAGTGGTCTCATCAAGAAAAAGGGACGACTTGTCTATCTTTGTCTATTCATTATTGATATTAATACATTGACATACATTAACATGACCTCGCTCGGTTAGTGTACTAGGAAGATCTGATCATTATTCCATGCCTTGGTCGGTATTCATGCCCTTGTTGAAGCTTTGATCATCAGGACCTGAAGTCGGATCCATTTGATGCGCAAGGTCCTTTGTTTAAAACTGCTCACGGTTGCAGGTCCCTCTCTTCTCGGGAAGAGGACAGAACAGGACAGGACAGAACAAAGATACCTCGGAACGGCATAAACTCTATACTCATCTCTTCAACAAGTGGAAATCTTAATTTATTTTTTGAACTTGGGGAAATACAGAAAGTTAGTAGCTTTTAAGGATTATGTATCGCATCTCCACAGGTATGCAAGTGCATATGCAAGCAGAAGAAGCAGGCATTTGGTTTGGCTCAAACAATGTGGATTTCTGTTGCTCACTTTATCCTTCCTACTCTTTCTCCTACCTACCCGAGTCTCACCTTTTCCCCTTCACATCCTTTCTCTTTTTCTTTTTCAATTGCATCTGTGCATCCATAAGTTCTTTCATCTTTCTTCTTCTCTTTATCTTAGATACTGAGCTGTCCAAAATTAATCTATCTCTGGTTTTGTCTTTAACAACCCATCTTTATCATATATCATTCTCATCTCTCCCTTTGCCTTTCTTAGCCCCTCCGCCTCGGTTGGTTTTCACTGGCTGAATTGTCTTGGGATCTTTTCGGCAAATATCAAATACTCGTCTGATCTCTCTCTCTCTCTTCTTATCTGCCTTCAATCTCCGACCTTCCTCCCCCATCTTGATCTTGATCCTGATCTTGACCTTGGTCTTGATTCATCGGTCAACTTTGACGTGACTCTCGTCTCCAAATTCAATCTTGTCTCACCGCACACCTGCTCAGTCTACTATTGTGCTGTACAGCACAATACCGTCGCATTTGGAATATGATCGCCGCCTTTAGTCAAAATTCGGACAAAATGGTCCGCGTCTCAACTTCACATAATTTCACCATCACGCCGCCTACTCTTTACCTACCGCCGCATCATACGGACACAGCACGCCCAAGCACCACCATGACTTCTCGCAGTGGAAAGCGCCGCCATTGCGATAGCATCGACAGCGACACACCTCCACCAAGCAAAAAATACAAGCAATCAACTTCTATCGCTTCAGATGCCTCAACGACATCTACGACATCTACTACGGCCTCTATCGAATTGGACTATCCCCCGTTACAAACAATACAAACACCACCCTGTATCACCACTTTTCTGCCAGCTTTCAGGAGCGTACAGTACGACCGTCCTGCCTATCGATCAATATCACCAACACCGCCATCACCCAGATCACATTGAATGTTAGATTAGCGAACATGTTACGCCGAAAGATACGAACCATCATTTCTCTTATTTAAACAAAAATTGGATACCACTTTGTTGCCTCCCTCAGCAATGACATGAGGGCAGGCTTATTTTATTGCGCAACAGTTTAGACTGGGAATTCATCTCCTCTTTGTTATTTTCATGTCGATACGAAATATATCGGATCATTTATCCGAAACCCTCAGTCACGAGCCCTGAAATATATCATGTGGTCTGTATCATTACCGACGTTGCACCCACAGAGGAACACAATACTCTGGTATACATCTAGACGGTCATTTTAGGGAGTGAAAGGTATTCCTGTTAATGGGATTTCAATGTGTTAATGGCAGATGTACATAAGTGGCATACAAGAATATTCAGAATCCCCTCCATTTTGATAAAGTCAAAAACGGCAAACGCCTGGCCAACACCCTCCCGTTGTCGTCATGAATCATTCCCACCCCTTTCTCATCATTCAGTCCATTTCCCACCACATGACATCCTCCTCTTGATAAGGCACGCTGATTTCAAAGTTGCGCTCCATAGTATTCATGGAATTCTCCATAACTAGACGTTCCACCTGCATCATGGCGTTTCCATCGCCCGTCCGTTTGGCCGCCATGTACAGCTCCATGAGCTCGGCGTTCCGGCTTTCGTAATCCTGCCGAACACGGCGCCTCCGAGCCGCTGGATCACACGCTGCACACGTGTCGTTGAGATGTTGAGTTTTGACGCTGGGCGTACATGATCTTGGGCGAGAGCGTGAATATGAACGTAATCTTGAGATGGGCCGCAAGCCACATGTTGTGGCAGTGTTTGTGAATATGTGACCGCACGCCATCGTTGTTCTGATGCTTGAGCACATGGCAGCAGCGATTGAGTTTGGAGAATGTATAACACGGTTCCTCGGGTTAAGAATCAAGTAGAGAGGTATAAGTCATTCACAACAGATAGATGGCGGGAGAGAGGCGTAAATATGCCTGGGACTTTGCGTCGTCGTGGAACTAGATGTGGGCAAACCCACATTAAAGGTTAATTCACAATTTGGGGGAAGTTAGAGATGTGAAATGACACCAAATTCCAAGAATTACACAAATTGTGCCTTCTTTTCGAGTCTTTTTCATATCTTGGAGATGGGTCCCCTGTCGAGATTTGGCTGGTGGATGTCGCATGATGATCATGGCACTTACAGGTCTCACCGCCATCGTCACTCGACTACGCCGTACAAGTCATAACAAAAAAAAGGAACAAGACATGACACCTGAGTCTAAAGATGAAGGATGTACGGTGAGTTGTTCCAACAGCAAATCGGGTCACGTCCGAGTCATGATGGGTTGCCTGATTAAGGAATATGGGTATGATGGCAACGTATGCTCATGTCGTGTTATTCATTATGTGTGTAATTATTCTAGTCTTTGCAGTATCACACTGCTGTATCTGAGAGGAGTTTCTAGACCATGATACTGGTTAACTTTTCAATCATCCAAGGCTTCATACGTTCCATCTATATTTCTACTCGTCCATCATAACTCCTGCGCCTTTTTCTCCTGTGTAGCGTTACCAGTCTCGGGTGAAGACTCGGCCTTCTTGGGCTTGATACTCCTCCATTCCACACATAAAGAGCATACAAGTTGGCCCAATGCCAACGCCACGCCAACAAAGAATATCCGCGTAATTGCGTGGTTATAGGCGTCTGTCACCTGGGAAACATACTGTGATGGCACTATCCTCTTGAGCTCTGTGGCACCAGTCTCGACAAGATTCTTAGAGTCAAGCCCAGGGATACCCGAAAGTCGCTCCACGAGACGTCCACTAAGGACAGTTTGGCCGACAGAAACAAAGATAGCACCACCAAGCTGTTGGCCGAAAAAGTTAATAGAGAGACCAGTAGGGACTTCTTCCTTGGGAAGTGTTGCCTGAACAGCGAGACCAGTGCTTTGCATGCCAATTCCGAGACCGAAACCGACCAGAAATTGGTAGGCGATCCAATGCGATGAACCAATGTCGGGTTTGAGGGTGGTCAAGAGTCCTTGTCCAATAGACATGATGCATGGGCATATTATCATGGAAGGGACATAGTAGCCAATTCTTTGGGTAAAAGCAGCAGACATAATACTAGCAACAACAAGGCTGAGCACGAGGGGAATAGTGTAAACACCGGAGTCGACCGGGCTGACGTCTTTGGTAGCTTGGACTAGAAGTATGTCAGTAACTGTACGGAGTGCATGATAGGAGAAACTTACACCATAGAGGAACATAGTAGACAGCAACCATCATGCTACCGCCGGCAAATATAGAAATCCATGCGCAAGCCAACATCGTCCGCTGAGTAATGACCTTGACCGGGATGGTGGCCGTTTTGGGCATCTTAATCTGCACAGCAATAAATGCAATAAGTGTGAGGCCAAACATGACAAAGAGCAGGATGAGTCTCCAGCTGCTCCAGGCATATGTCGAGCCTCCCCACTGGAGTGCCAGGATGAGGCAAACCATTGATGGCACAAAGAAGAAGGTTCCAAGCGGGTCGAGGCGAGTGATATGCTCAAGAGCAGGGACAGGTTCACGCTTCTTCTCTGAGAGAGTATGAAAGAAAAAGAGAAAGATCGAGGCCACGGCACCAACAGGTAGGTTCATATAGAAACACCATCTCCAAGTGGCATGCTGAGTAAATGCTCCACCAATTAGGGGGCCAGCAACTGATGAGACGCCGAAGACCATACCAAACATTGCTGGGCACAGAGTTAGTTGCTGGAAGTAATATAACAGGTTAGATTACTCACACTGGAAGACGGGTCGCTTGTGTAGAGGAACCATGGGAATAATGGACATCATTGATCCCGTCATTATTCCTGCTGCGCCAATACCAGCAATAGCTCGCCCAATGATAAAGGCAACAGAATTGGGTGCAGCTCCACAGATGGCAGAGCCAATCTCGAAAATCAAGATACAGGTCAAGAATGTCTTTTTTAAGTCATAAAAGCGGTAGATGCGACCGAAGATGAGTTGGAAAGCGGCGGTAGTGAGCATGTAGGCAGAGCCGTACCACCCTATATCGCCCAAACTCTGGAAGTCGTTTGTTATCTGAGGGATGGCGGTTGCAATGATTGTACGATCCAGAGCAACGAGTAACATGGCGGCAAAGACAGAAATAATTATGAGCCAGAATTTGAGCGTCTTGGGCTTGTAGTTGTCAAAAGCTTCTTGGTCAAAGGCTGGACCTGGGGTTGTAACTTCGACTTTAGAGGTGTCTTGAGATTGTTGCTGCTGTTGAAAGGCATTGTGGCTAGATCTGGTGCGTTCGTCTTGTGCAGGGCTGTAGAGGTTTTGTTGTTCGGTCGACGAGAGTGAGTTAATAGACTTGCGTTCTGGAAGACCAAAGTCTGTTTTTTCAGGAGACGACATGATTGTAGTTCTCGAGGCGTAGATCTGTCGTGTAGATAAGTTTATACTAAATTATTTAGTAGTTATTCAGCTAAAGAGACACAGTTTCAGAGATGATGAGTAGAGCATGAATACAATTGCTGGACTGGATATTATCCTAGATATATATCTACACAACGAGGTAATCGTCGGACTGACTGAGCCCCGAGCCATACAAGGAGGTGAAACTAGTGTCATAGTCTAGAGGATACCAGCGAGGCAAGAATGAATTACTCGGTCGGAATTCTTCAGTCGCTTCACAAGAACACAGCAATAATCCACCGAAGAAAATTGGTTTAAGATAAACAAATCCCCGAAGGTGAAGGATAAAGCAATAGGTCGGATCCGGGAGTGAGGAAGCTATACCCCATTGAGAAATCAAAGTCGCGAACCTGGCAGGAACGTCCCCTCCTCGGGACCGACGGGCGCGAACGCTCGTGCCTTCTTAACTTGAACAACTCTCGGCCAATTCCTGCCCTTTTGCTACCCGAAAGTCTTCTCTCTGATAGTATTCGAGCCCCTTGTTTTATTTCGTTATCCATTTTATTATACCTCATTGCTGCTTTACTGACCAGGAGGTACCTATATCTTGTCAGCAACAGAGAGGGGGGCTAGCTAATCATCCAATCATCCTTTCAGATTCTCAATAATCCTCTCATGTTAAAGCACGGTCTCGAAGCGAAGTAAGCTCCCGTGCTGTAGTTTCGGGCCCGACGGGGAAGATCAAACCAAACACTCACCAAGTGGTGATCCCTTTTCCCTCACGGCCTGTCACTGGCTGAACACCGAAGCAATCGTATCTGGTCCCTGCGGTCACGTACGGTACATCACAGTCGGTACCTTGGTTAACTGTAGGGCTGATACAAGACTTGACTTGCAGCTCAGCTGAACCCGTCAAGTCAGGTCTTTCGATACTAACTCAGCAAGTACCTCTTTTGGGACTCATCTACGCACCACCTGTTTGGTAACACACAGATAGCTAGCTGTGCTGTTGGTGCATTGTCTCAGCGCCCACCACTCGAGTACTCTCCCTCACTCCGGGCCCGACAACTGTGTGCCCCGGGCTATAGTATCCACTCTATCGGGCTCAAACGCTCCGGTTCCCAAGACCGTCTCACCCGGACCACATCAAGGCTTACCATGCCCTATCCCAATGGTGTCCCCGGTGTCCCCGGCTCGGCCCCACAACAGCAGCAGCAATTCCAAGATCCTTCCAACATCAAGTTAACCAGAGGTACCAGCTGTGTATTGTGTCAACAACGCAAGGTTCGTTGCGACAAGAATAAGCCATGCGCCAACTGTGTCAAGGCTAAGGTTGAGTGCCGGGTTATACCCCCACAGCCTCCTCGTCGCCGAAAGAAGCGCCTCCAAGAAAAGGATCTCATTGAGCGTCTTAAAAAATATGAAAATCTCTTGGCTGAGCATGGAGTCAAGGTTGATGCTATTGGCCATGAGTTGAGACCTGATGGCCCCCCAGGAGAGGATGTTGATGAGCTTGAAAACGACTTTGAAGGCCTCAAGACAACCCCTGAAGCTAGTTCGTCCCCTGCTCCATCAAACGCAGAGCAAAAGTACGCATCCTGCAACACATCCAACCACAGATTTTGAATCATCCATGCTAATACCCCCGTAGAACTGGCGGAGGAGCCTGGTTTTCTTATCATAAAGAGGTATATATCATTCAAATCGTTACATGACACCCATCTAATCTTCTAATAGTTTCGGGCAAGCGAGCACATGCTTCAAGATTCGTCGGACGAAGAACCTGAAGTCGGTTCTACCATTCATCGTGCCTTTGATCGCATGTTTGCAACCGACGGCTTTCCTTTCATCATAGGGAGTGCTCCTGTACCTATATCTAACCTCCATCCTTCCACTATACACATTTTCCAACTCTGGCAAATATACATCGACAACATTAATCCATTGCTCAAAATCACACATGTCCCTACTGTTCAAGGGCAGATTATTGAGGCGAGTTCCGATGTTGAAAATGCACCCAAGAACATTGAGGCCCTCATGTTTGCCATGTATCTCATGGCAATCACATCTCTTGAGGAAGCGGAGGTTTACAGAAGATTTAATGAAACAAAAAAAGAACTTTTAGCGAGATATCATGCTGGTACTCAACAGGCGCTTACAGAAGCTGGCTTTATGAGAGTCAACGACCCTATCCTTTTACAGGCTTATATCCTCTATTTAGTAAGTCTATCCCAGCTGTCAGAGTCTTGAGTTCTATATTAATCTTCACCAAGTTTGCTGTTCGATGGTTTGTTGACCCTCGCCAAGTCTTTTGTTTGATCGGACTAGCTGTTCGTATTGCTCAGCGGATGGGTCTTCATCGAGATCCAGCACAGTTTGGCTTACCACCATTTGAAGTTGAGCAACGCCGTCGACTATGGTGGACACTTGTGGGATATGATCGACGGTTGGGAGAAATGGCTGGATCAACGGTTACTGCCCTCTCTACTGGCGGTGACTGCAGGATACCAATGAATGTGAACGACTCGGACTTGCATGTTGATGGCAAAGAATTCCCCACCCCCCACACTGGACCAACCGAGATGCTGTTCTCTCTGACAAGGGTTGAGCTCGCAATGGCTGTCTCAAGCGATAGCAATCGCGACAGCTTCAAGATGAACAATACAGATAAGAGCCCTGGAGGGGCAACTGCCAATAGGAACCAAGCGACAATCCGGCTTGCTGGTCAAGACGGTCCTGAGTATACTCTTGATGGTTACTGCGCACATATTGAGGGTACATACCTCAGCCAGTGTGACCCTAAAATCCCCCTGCACTTTTTTACTCTCACAATGACTCGCCAAGCCTTGTGTAAGATGCGCATCATCAGCTTTCTCGTTCGAATGCACAGCAACAATGGTGATGTTCCGCTCAAGGAAGTTGAGAGAGACAGTCTTTTTCTACAGGCCACGCAGATGATTGAGTATGATAACATTGTTCAGTCCTCCGAGTCACTGCGCCCGTTCAAGTGGTACTCCATGCATCACTTCCCCTTCCCTGCGTATATGTTCCTTGTCCAGCAGCTGCGGCAGCGCGTTTCTGGTCCTATGGTAGAACGTGCATGGGACGCTATCGAGAAGAACCATGATCTCCGTGGTCTCATGAACAATTACCACAACCCTATGCACATGGCATTCGGTGGTCATTTTATCAAAGCTTGGGATGCACACGAAGTCTCTCTTCTCGCTGCCGGTCGACAACCGAGAAGACCAGCGTTTCTCGCTCCTCTGCGCGAACGTGTCGCAGCACGTCGCCGGGAAAAGCACGAGAGACGGCAAGCTCCTAAGTTTTCTCAGCCTCAAATCGGCATCCCACAAGTCGCGACGCCTTCTTCCACCGGCTTCGCCCCATCTGTTGGACAAATGACCCCTGGAACCATCCATCATGGCCAGCGAGCAAACTCAGGCTCTGTTGCCTCAAGCGACGAGCCAGGGGAGATGGATTGGACATTTATGATGTCAGGCTACAATGATAACGCCAGTTTTACCCCAATGGGTGGATTTGGAAGCTTCAGTGGTGGATTCGGTGGAGGAATGCCTGGTATGCCGCCCGGTATGGGACGCGGTCCTCCCCCTCCTGGCGGTAACACGTTTGGAAATTAACAACATATTGCCACACAACGTGTACACTGTTGTCTTTCTTTTTCTTGGCTCCCTCCGCTTACTCGTTCTTCTTTTGTTTTGCTTTTTCCCCCTAAGAAGGAGACTATACCTCCTTAAGCCAAATCTTATGGGGTGTTTGCTTGTCAGACACGGATGTATTGGAACATCTTGTTTGTTTTCTCTCCTGCACGTACTTATACATTCATGTTTGTGCACCTATGCACTTAAAGATGTACCAAGCGAGAATGACTGCAATATGATAGCACCAAAAAAAAAGCGGGTGTTTGAATACATATACACACATATATCCATTGTATTTTCTTTGATAAGGGCTGAAACGAAAGGAATCGTAAACATATTAGTAGCCAGTAGTTATTCCAATCTTCTTTCACCATCGCGAACGAAGAGTCTTGTTGAGATGAACGAGGAACTCCGACTTGAGGGGCATTACATTACACATTTGCGCAAGTTCAAGTTCTTTACCGTAGACCGCCTCATGAGCTTCTAATTGGCATCTTACTGATCCTCAGTCAGTGCTTTTGGTGGTTGTACGTGATTTTCAAAGCCTAATACTGACTTCGTCCTAGGAATAGCATATGTAAGAACCCTAACACCCCTCCCCACTATGTTACACTACCGTTTCCTATTCCGATACCTAGCATAAGCCACGGCAGCCTGATTAGCGGTGTTGTATGATGGGTCAGTGTTTGCTCTTGTGTTGCGTTTCAACAGCCAGAAAGTCCATGCAATGTAACCTTCATCCCTGCTACCTCAGACGCAAGAATCATATAGTCTGGCGTCTGATTTGGCTGGCTAGCTGATCGCGCAAGTCGAGCGGAGATACAAGCGTGATGCGTGCTGACAGCTATCAACCTTAGCCGAAAACACCACTATTGGGGTTCACTATTATAATGAAAGTCTCTCTGCTTGCCCATCAGAGAGGCTTCTGCGCCCAGCAGTCGATCCAATCGAGCTGTGCATGGATGCGTGTATTGTTAAAAGTTTCGAAAATGCTATGCCCAAGCTCATGTGCCTCTTCCTCTGTAAGTCCCATAATACTTGGGCGACCAAGCATGGCTGTAACCCATTCTTCAAGAATATTCTGGGTGAATATTCCTATTTCTCTCATCTTTGCCTCCTGGTGCCATCGGCCTACAGGTGTGAATGCGTGCCGCTCATTGACATTGACGAAGCCAACATCAGCAACCGTTTGGACGATCTGGAAAGGGAAGCGTAAATTCCAGCCATACAATTCGGTGAATGGGCCCTCGACCAGTCGATAGAATTTGTTCATAGGGTGGTCATACCCAGCGGTGTCGTCGTCGGAAAATACGAAAGGGACAATCTCATGTATTTCGATCCAGGCACCTGGTTTCAGCTTCCTGGAATTATTCAGTCAGTTGTTATAACGAGAAATTTGGAGGCACTCCACTGACTCGAAAGCCCTTTCTAACAGTTGCCTTGGCTTACGCAGTGTTTGTAACAGAGCCCGGACATGAATCAAGTCTGCGCCTGCATATATGCTCGTCCAGGGGCGGTTTTCATCCTCAAGATCTTCCACGCGAAATTCGACATTCGGAGGCGTCCAATGTGGTTGGATTGGCGAAAGGTCTGTTCCTATAACGCGGGCACTGGGGAAGTTCTCCGCGACTGACATGTAACCTGGGTCAATTTGAGAGCGCTATCATTGGGGCAAGGAAGAGACTTACCATCTTGTGCCCACATACCAACACCAGTACCAAGGTCGACAATCTTCTGTGGGTTGTCACCAATGGGAGCGAGGATCAATTTGCCATCCATAAGATAGTCCAAATACAGCTTGTGCTTCAAGCCTTCACGAACTTGCTCAGCATCATCATTAGGCAGGCCGTAGCGGCCACGTAGAAAGCCTTGATAACGCCTAGTAAGTTAGTATTGAGCATAAGATGCCATGTAGTTTGGTTTGCTACCTACCTTCCGTGTTCGTATGAGTAAAGTTCCCTAGTGTAGACCGATGTGAACTCGGAGGTTGCTATAGAATCTCCGTAGTCCGATGTTGGGTCCTCTTCGGAATCATTGTGATCCATTTCTAAGGAACTTCTGCTTCAAGACCCTTCTGGTGGGTTGTGCTCGAGAAGAGACAATTGTGGTAGGAGTAGGGTGTTGTTTGGCAGGAATACATGAGAATAAGGCCTTACACTAACCAGATAGGTAGCAACGAGCCAAGAGGAAAGCGATATGGAAGTGATAATAATGCCAGCCTGCCTAGGCGGTGGTGGGTCGAACGTATATGCTGGTAACTGATACCCAGGCTTCGTCCCGAGTGGGAGGGACGGTACGTATGCCACCGGGAAAGGTTTGTTGGTAACGTGGGTGGAATGAGACGTGACCAGAGGTTGAAGTACTGACAGTAGTACACAGTATCGAGTGTGCCAATAAAGGTTCACAATATACCCTTAGCTGGCTCTGACAACGGGCAGTGGTTGAATGTGAGGTTGCACAGGACCCAGCAACTCGGACTGTGTGGTAGGTGCCAGTATTAATGCTAACAAACAACCAATACAATGGGAGGGGGAACAAGGGCGGTTCCCAGCACAGCGGAAGGGAGGGCGGAGGAAGACCCAGAAGACTCCCGAGAGGCCGGTAAAGTCGGGTTTTTTTTTATTTGGCGTGGTTGGTACTATGAATTGGTTCTTGAGACAAGCGGCGTGGACCAAGCCATCGGGACAAAGCGAAACTCCTTTGAGACGAGTTTACAACAATGATCGGCGACCGTAATGTAGCCCAGCTGTGACGTGGTCGAGCTTGCGAGCTCAAGACGGATAGATAGATGCAAGAAAATTGGCTATCTCATGCACAGCAAGGATGGCCGGTGATAGCAAGGGCCCCGCGTAGTAGGAACTAGGGCTTTGGTTGATAGTTTGAATCCACGTACATACGATGCGTGGAGACTGAAGCTGGTGACGGGCGGTTGTTCCACTATATGGATAGATGGATACAGTACCCCGTAGATAGATGGGCTTGTTGTGGTTTTGAGTCAGGGATCTGGCAGGTCTAATACCATGTTAGATCATACAAATCTCAATGAATCCACTGCCCTGGTCGTAATTAATTGACGCAGTCAGAAATAAGACCTGTCTGTCACCAACTTAGCTCTGAAGGAAGTGCAGTGCTACGCTGTAACTTTGATGCAGTGACTAGGGACCCGTCCCTGTCTCCATTTCTCCTGCTGCGTACCTTAACTTCACGACACTCCAGTGGCTTTGATCCGCAACAATAAGGTTAGTGCTCCGCCTTGCATGGGATACCCAGGTCTCGGTGGCCGGGCCGTAATACCACAGCTGCCATATTGGATCAAAAGCATCAAGCTCCGACTGGAATGCGTCCTCAACCCCAGGCCATGAGTGCAGATAAATACTATGCCTACTACGATATCTCGGCCTTGTCGTAGGCGAGAATAAACAAAACACCACACACAAGAGTCTGAATCTTGGTTGCCGCTGCCCATATGCACCTGGAGAGTAGCATAATGCATGCTTGACAAACAGAGACAATGCGCAAATCCGAGACCTTGGCGTTGCTGTGCCCTACTCAAGCATTACAACTTTGCAAGCTTGGGTTCGGATAAGCCATGACGGTACCTGTAGTGTCTTGACCGGTCTTTTGGCAGGCTTGTTCTCGTTCAAGGAAATCCATTGTCACAAGTTTCTCGATAACGAGGGTAAAGAGCAATTGCACTTTTTCTACTTCTTCTTCCTTCTCTGCGATTTGAATATCACCAAGAATAAATGAATGAGACAAAGTTGAACAAAGGAATTATATAGGGAAGTAGACGGATAAGCACCTCTTTCCCCTTGTGGGGTACCTGCCTTCTAGATGCTACCCAATCTACCTGCCCCCTATATACTACAGGCTCGAATGCCCAGATTCAATGTTAAACCACTTCAACTATTATCTGAACAATCTATAATCTCGAAATTTGTTGATTGTGACTTGTTCTCATGGTGGAATTCTACTTCCTGGAGAGTAGCAACTTAAGTAACGATATATGTTTTTTTTTTTTTTTTTTTTTTTTTAAAAAAAATCTCTGAACCGAAACCCAAGCTTTCTCAGTTATCTTCGAATTCTAAATTGAAAAGATCTGTACAGGTCAAACCCCCAATAAATCAAATCAATGTTGTTTTCTCAGAAACCAATTTTCTCAACAGGGTCACGTATACGACTGAACTCTATGATGAGGGTCACTGATAGGAGAAGCTTCTGCTGGGCTGAACTTGAGTGATTCTATGTTGGCTATGTCTTTAATGGAAAAGTACCTAGAATGGAAGGAGGGGCAGTTGTCAGAGGTTATTCTCGTCCTCCTTTGGTGTGGCCAATCTACTAGGGTGGCCCATCAGGGCCAGAAAAGTTGGCCGCTAGGAGCATGAGAGACGAAATTAGTAGGCCAGGTTATGCTCCTCAGACCAGACTTCTTAGGTCATTTGTTTTTTGTAGCCTATAGATTGAAGGTTAACTTTTCTATTGCCCACTAGACTAGTCAACTAGATACGAGAAAGCGCGTCATTCAATCCAGTCGCGTCGCCAAAAACGCGTCCACCCAAATTGAATCCCAATTCAACGTCAAAGCAACGCAGCTAGGGTCTCCATTGCATAGGTACTGATATAACATAACGATACAGTTGCCTTTACTTGTTCGTTGAGTACACGTCCATCTCAACAAAGTCCCCCTGAGACCGTATATGCTTTCATCCCAAACTTTTTCTAGTAATATCTTAGTACTTAACGCGTCCCACCTTCCCCCTTGACAACCGACCTCGATCGACCCAGCTATCCTCGAATACGCTCATGACACCTGTGGCACATAAACAATATAGCGACTTGACCGCTGTCGACTTCTCGCAATGTATCTTCCACGGTCCTTGATCTCGAAATTATACATTCACCTTCAGCAAACACGGCACCCTCTCTCCCCGCCCGTACTTATTCTTGTCGCCCTCGAACCCGATGCTCTTTGTGCTTGCCGAATCCTTACTCGATTGCTCAAACACGACTATGTTCCTCACAAGATTCAACCTGTTTCCGGATACACCGACCTCGAGAAAGCCGGTCGGGAATTGGTCACGCCCATGATGGAATCTCAGGGTGGTAGTGGTGGTGTCGTTGTATGCCTCGGTGTAGGAGGCATGGTTGACTTGGGCCCATTACTGGGACTTGAATCCGAAGGTGATGATGCTCCTTACAGTGGCGTAGAGGTTTGGGTTATGGATGCACATCGGCCTTGGAACCTTGGAAACGTTTTTGGTGGGTTTCCCCTTGACCCAGCAACCGAGATATCGTCCTCGTACCAGTCGAGGAGCCCGGCTGGAGTTGATGGAGGGAAGATCACCCGAGTATTCAACCCTGGCAAAGGTGGTATCATCGTTTTCGATGATGGCGATATCGAGGAAGATATGGAGGCTGAGCGTACCGCATACCTTGCTCTAATAGACATGCCCGAAATTGATGATGAGGGTGAGGAATTGGGAGATACCGATGACGAGGACGAGGCCAGTAACCACTTTGATAAAGAACCTACGCACGCGGGTCAAAAACGAAAGAGTTGGTCAGATGGAGAGGACGATAGTGATGATGATAGGCCCCGGCAACGGCGACGGAGTAACTCAGTAAGAATACCCAGCGTATTTCAATCAGACTTCACTAACAACTTCACCTAGTCCAGCTCAATTCCGGAATCACCACAGCGTCCCCAGCAAAGAGGGCTCCTTTCCTTACAGCAACTTGATGTTGGGCTGTCAAGTGATCCAGTCGAACCCCCTTCCGGAGCACAACCACCTGCAGGTCCATCAGCTCGCGCATTACGAAGACGACTATTGCGAATGCGAGAGAAGAACGAAGCCATCCTTCATCAGTACTACAAATTCGGGTCCTCTTTCTCGGAACCGCTTTCCTCCATGATGTATTCGCTTGCTTCCGAGTTAGGCAGAGAAGACAACGATCTCCTGTGGCTGACGATAGTTGGAGTTACATCCATGGAAATCTACGGTCGCTCCTCAGCAGGTGTTGCGGCACCTGTCAGACAGAGCGACAAGAGCCGCCCGACAGGCTGGCTAGGAATTCGGGGGACGAGAATAAGGCAGCTTCTTCGGGACGAGGTGAGGCGACTCAACCCCCCAGAAATTTCAAATGGGCGTGTTGCTGTGGAAAATACGGGTGTGATTCCCACCACAGCGAGAAACCCGGAAGACACAGGGATTCGATTGTCTCCTGAGCCCAAATTTCTGCTCATTCGCCATTGGAGTCTCTACGACAGTATGCTACATTCACCATACCTTTTTTCACGTCTAAAAACCTGGAGTGAGACGGGAATCAAGCGACTTCACAAATTACTTGCAAAAATGGGAGTCAGTCTTGTTCAATGCAAGCAAAACTATACCCACATGGACATGATGCTGAAGCGCGAGCTTAGAGCGAAATTGCTCAAGTACGGCTCACTTTACAACCTCGACGAAATGGTGCCATCAGTCGACACAGATGGTAAGGATCGTGCTGGAGCCAAAGATGGATGGGGCTTTGTCCGAAGTTGGGGTTTTCGCGCAACATTGAGTGCTCAAGATGTGGGAGTTGTCGTTGGTGCCCTCCTAGAAGTCGGCAAGCATGCTCAGACCGACGACCCTGCTGCGGCCCGTCAAGATGCTCGAGAAATCGAGGAAGAGGTCGAACTTGCAGCTCAAGGGCAGGAATGGATTGATCGGTTCTGGGGGGCATACGACGCGCTCGAAGAGTAAGTGCATTCTATTCTTACTAACGTCCAAAAACACAGTTAACGATTAAACTAGTATCGACGCGCTGAAAGCCGGACTACCCACTGCTCAATTCCTTCATCGAGCAATTTATCGTACAGGGACATCACTCATCAACAAAAAACAGATTAAACACCTCCGAGCGTTCCGTATGTGCGTGGTCAAGGAGGGGCCTGACGTCGCGCTTTTCACTCACCCCGCGGCACTAACCAAACTATCACTTTGGGTCGGCGAGGCTCTTGCCGAACAAGAGAGAGAGGCTCACGGAAAGCTTTCGCACGGCGGCCGTGGTACACCACTTGTTGTTGCCGGCCTCAACGAGAAACGAGGTGTGTATGTTGTGGTAGGCACGGGTGGCGGAGGTGGCCCGGACACAACATTGCTCGATAGAGAGGCCGCAAAGAAACGCAAAATCGAAAGAGAAGCAAAGCTCAAGAAGAAGGAAGAGTCACGTCTAGCGAAGCAAAAAGTGCGAGAGGATAAACGGGCAGCTCGACGAGATGCAGGCGATGATGATGAACTCGAGACAGAGTCAGAGGATTCCGACAGCTCAGACTCGGATATGTCAGATGATGATGGAGACGTCGAGCTTGAAAAGGGCTACGGCCTCAACAAATTCGGCATCGCATTCCAAGAAGTAGTGTCAGAAACCAACACGAGGGTACGAATCGATAGTTTCGAGCATTGTGTGGTGGAAGTGAAGAAGGAGGATCTTAGCGGATTCCTCGAGAGTTTGAGCATGAAGGTCGTTGTGGGTTAAAGACCTCTTACCTAACCTTATGATACAAAAAATATAAATGACCTGATTATCGTCTAAATAGTATAAAGTGACATAAAATAAATGGCCTAAATTTATCCCTAGTCTAAATAGCATAAAGGGTTATAAAACAAATAACCTAAGTTTATCTTTAGTCTTAATTGTATAAACTGACCTGCTAATTTTACCTCTTATATCTCAAGCGGCTAACTTTTCTGATACCCTGAGTGAGGCTCGGTCTAAAATCTAACTACTCCGCGTTTGTTTCAAGCTCTGATATTTTTGAATTCCGACATTATTAACACTTGGTTCAGGAAAGCGAGTAAGTTACCTGTGTGAGGACGTTCGATGATTCGGTAGGACAGCAAGTCGCTGGAGTATCACATAAGTGACTTGTATGTTAACGGATTTGCACCAATCGATCTGCAGGTAGAGGACTTGAGAATCAACAATTGATAGGTATGGTTGAACCTTCTAGTGGGCATCAGAAATGTTGGCCTCCTCTCTTCTAAGGTGAGTCTGCGGATACAAAAATAAACATCCTAAGAAGTTTGACCTAAGCAGCATAACCTGACCTACAAATTTCGTCCCTTGTGCTTCCAGCAGCCAATTTTTCCGACACCCTGATGACCAGTTGTCACAAATCCATAGAATAAACGCCGAGTGTTCAGATAACGGCAGGGGTCAAGGGTGGAAGGAGTGGGAGAAGAGGCAGCCAAGCTTGGCTGTAGGTAGCATGTCATTGTGAGATTCTGCTTGGAAGCTAGGGGAAAAGCCAAAGAAATGTAGCTTAGCTGTGAATCAAGGTGGGCTCAGCAAAAAGCTTATTGAAGATAAAGTGGTATGGCGCCGACTTGGCGCAGATGCAGATAACTTCTCTGCGGCGCATTGTTACATGAACGCTAATGTAAATCAATATTCCATCATCAACTTCTACCTATTGATTATACAAGTTGGCTTGCGACCTCGCTGAAGTTCGATCGTATTCAAGCCAAGTTATTGGCAGCCAAATACGCGCAAGCAAAAGACAGGGCCTTGACACAAACGGTAAGAATAAATCGGCAAACAATCAAAATCAGATGGCCTAAACAAGAACCGAGACCTACCTGATTGGAGCCATCTGTGGATGTTGGTGCAACACAGCCACACACCACTCCACTGCATGTGAGCGGACATGGAACCCAGCCTGGAGATTATAGAAAAGTTGGCTGCTGGAAGTACCTGTAAAAGACAAAATTAGCCAGTCAGTCTATGCTGACCCGGCTAAGCTCTTGGGTTGTTTGTTTTTATCCCTTGTTGTAGCTAAGAAGCCAGCTTTTTCTGTTATCCACTAGCCTGGTCGCCACTCTTCCAGAAATCGAGAAAATACATAGCCTCTTTGAGCGTTGCTGTGACTACCCAACAGCAGCTGCTTAAAGAGGCAGCTGATGACATACCCATGTAGAATTGTGATTTGAAAAGAATCATTATGTTGCTTACTAGTATTGAAAAAGATAAACGGACGAAATTGGTATAAGTTTGGTGAGGCGACTGTCGAGTCCCATTTATTAGTTGCGATTCGTCATTGATGATGATGGAGATTGATGGAAAGCCAGATTTCTTCCAGTCAATATGTGTTGAGTCCCATAGCATAAACTTGCGACTGGCCAATCACTACAATGCATCTATCTAGTCGTACAGGGTGTGGAAGCTGTTAGGCTGTGGCGGGGCAGGCTCTAAACCTCCAGACTTCCAGAACCCCGCCCCCACTATATCGAGGTGGGCTGTCCAAGGCATTACCTTCTATAGGTGTACTGAGTGAGACCCCTAAGTTGTGCCCGGCGGAGGCCTGGGCTACTGGAGGATTCCCTGGAGGACCATGTCAGGACCACCTATGGATGGGTTTTACTCCGGCGGAGTTTGTTCTCGCCCTCGTGTTCTGCTCTTTCCCACCCTTGCTCGTTGCCCATCCGTCCTTTCAAGGCAGTGAAGAGTGAGCGAGTGAGTGAGTGACCTCCACTTCGACTTAACTAGCCCGGGTCTACCTAGTAACTTACCAGTTATTTATTCCATCTCCTCTTGTTACCTCTCTAAGGTAATCGGCTCGGCTACATTACTTTTACTCTACTTTGCCGTTCATCTCCTTCGGACGACTAAACTTCTTCATCCTGTTCCTCCACAACCTTGCGACTGGACTCTTCTCCTTCTACGCCTCTCGCACCACGCGACACGACACAGACTTGAGAGCTTTACTATCAGCCCCTCACCAAGCGCTTCGCTTTAATCCCTACGCCTACGCCTCCGCGCTCCGGCTTTCGACGCAACCTATTTCCTCCCCCAATCTTCCCGACCTCGACTTCGACTTCGACTTCGACTTCGATATTGACGTCGCTTCTCCAATACTTTCTCCTCCGCAAGCGATACTTCAAGAGGCTGAGACCGTCCTTGTCCTCAGCAACTCGGCTTCCAGTCCCTCGTTTCTCTCGAGATAAAAAAGACTCTCCCGAAACTGTTTAACTTTGATTCAACCATCGCGCAATTCGTGCTCTACCTCTACTCGCCGATAACGACCCCAAGTCTAAAACGTCATGGGTAAATCGTAAGTTTCCTCTTGACGCATTTTTTTCATTCTTCCCAGTCGCTTCACGACGCCGTCCCGCTGTTTGTCGCCTTCATGCCATCGAGGTGATGTTGCGTCACTTGCAGCCAGAATCTCATCGGGCGCAAGCGCATTTGTCAACCTCGGATCCCCACGGAAGCTAAGGACCGACGTCATTATACCTTGTGATCGGCCTCATCGCAACGATAGCTCATCACTAACCACCTTCGTGCTTATTCAGACAGTCCAAGCTCTCTCAAGATCAACTTGTTGAGCTTCAGAAGTCCACTCATTTTGATAAGAAGGAGCTGCAGCAATGGTACAAGGGTAAGTCCGTATCCTCACCAGGCCTCCCGCGTGCTTCGCACCGCCCATGCATCAAACATCGACGCCTTCGCCACATGAGAACAGTTGCCTAACGTCAACTCTAGGTTTCCTTAAGGACTGCCCGTCAGGTACGCTCACCAAGGAGGAGTTCCAGAAGATCTACAGACAATTCTTTCCTTTCGGAGATCCGAGCTCGTTCGCCGACTATGTATTCAACGTGTTCGACAGCGACAAGTCCGGTACTATCGACTTTAAGGAGTTCATTTGTGCATTGAGTGTCACCAGCAGAGGCAAGATGGAAGACAAGCTGGATTGGGCATTCCAGCTGTATGACATTGATGGCGACGGCAAGATCAGCTATGACGAAATGCTGAAGATTGTTGAGGCTATCTACAAGATGGTAAGTGCCTACTCGCTGCTCTTCGGCAGCGGTCGCATATTCTCTAGATACTCCGGAGCCGTGAGTAAAGCAGCCTTAACTAACCATGCTTAGGTTGGTTCCATGGTCAAATTACCCGAAGACGAAGATACCCCCGAGAAACGAGTAAGGAAGATCTTCCGCATGATGGACAAGGACGAGAATGGTAGTCTAGACATGGAGGAGTTCAAGGAGGGCAGCAAACGGGACGAGACCATTGTCTCAGCGCTATCCCTCTATGACGGTTTGGTATAGGAGAAGCAAATATTTTATCGGTAGTTATATGGGAAACACGAAACAAGGTGGAAAGAGAAAGAGAAACAACCTGAATGAAAAGAAGGATCCATGGATGCCATAGTTAGTTGGCCAGGAGTGTGAGGAGCTATTGTCTTTTTGCTTTTCCTGTTTGCCTTTGTATCAAGGGCACGGCCTCTTGTTTGGCGGAGGTCTTGGAGAGGCCTATGATTATGAAATAAATCGCTGTGCAATTTTCAAAGCCAGGTGTTTGTGTTTGCTTTTTGCGAATACTGGGCGAGATTGTTCTCTTGATGTGTTGCTTATAAATGCTTCTTCACCTTGGGAGCTACCCTGAAGTCTAAGATCTGATGTAGATCTTACTTGCATCCAGGGAACTGTAGATATTCACTTCTGGGCGAGTTACTTCACGGCCGATTTATGGCAAATAAATGCAACAGCATTTTATTTAAAGAAAGGAAAATCTTTGAAAAAACATCTAGCTGAGAAACGACTGATCTGGTTCAACATGAACTCAGGGTCCACACGTACTAACCCCATAATTAGTAGCTTGCTGCGATATCTAATATCTCATCAGATCCTTACAATACTATAGCACGGACACATAGAAAGATAAAGCTATTACATTTGTTCCATACCAGAAAAACTGCAGAGCGCACGAGTGTATCACTGTGCACTAAATATGGTTATGGATTTTATAACCGAATTACTCCCAAATCTGGAGCCAGAAGTTCAAGATGCAGACGAAGGTGAATTTAAACATCCTTCACCCAAGTGTAAACTCCACTAACACAGACAGAAACCTTTTATCTCTATGCTCAACCCATCCCGTCTATGAATCTTGGGTTCATAGACGCACGCGCTTCTTCAGTAGATGTCTCAGTCGGAGACCGGGATTTCACTATCCATCAGTCTCCCACAGTTCTCTCATCTACACGATCAGGCGGCACAACTGGAGCAGGTAAATCTCATTGTGTCTCTTACACAAAGAGAATACTGACCTTGTTTCATAGTGATCTGGAAGATAGCACCAACCTTTGCTACCTGGCTCTCATCTCCTTCAAACCCAATCCTCACCAAAATCAATCTTACAAAGGCCTCCATCCTCGAGCTTGGCTGCGGCATCTCCCCCCTGAGCGCCCTAGCCCTCGGTCCGCGCGTAGCCCGCTATGTTCTAACCGACCAGTCATACGTCCAACGTCTTCTCCAGAGGAATATTGACGAAAACTTCTCTTCGGCCTTCAGCTCGGGGACGTCTACGCCTACGGGTGAACGGGGCAGGAAGAAACGCAATGCTCATGGCCCTGCAGCCCCTCCTCAGTCAAATATTCGCTTCACAACGCTTGACTGGGAGACGGATGAAGTCACACCTTCTCTAGTTGGCTCAGGCGAGGCCAGTAGCTTTGACGCGGTTGTTGCTTGCGATTGCGTGTACAACTATGCCCTCGTGGATCCATTTGTTCAGGCATGCGAGGACGCATGTCGTCTGCGACTCTCCGACTCTTCGTTGAGTGACAGCGATGAAAGAAGGCCATGTGTCTGTGTCATTGGACAACAACTTCGCAGCGACGAAGTGTTCGAATCGTGGCTCAAGGCATTTTCAGCTTCGTTCCATGTCTGGAGGGTTTCGGACAACGCACTCCCTGAAGAGCTGCGATCAGCAGCTGGATTCGTTGTGCATGTTGGCATACTCCGCGAGGAAATGAGGTAAAACCAGCAGCTTCATGGACAGAAAACCAGGACATATCTTTATGATGATAGCGAATAGTCACTTTTTTTAGTTCAATAGCATGGCACGTCATATTCGATACATTCTCACATTCATATTCGATCATGGCATGTGTAATTGCGTTAATTCATAACCTCGTTGGAAGTACTGATTCAGTATCGAATCCAAACTTTTGTTACTCTTCATCCACCTAGGTGGAAAGAGCCAGCAACCCCTTTTATTATCCGACGCAGCAAAAGATTCAAACAGACAGAAACTCAATGTTATCATCATATACCCATATACCCGATCCACTTCGCCGTAAAGTCATCTAAATTCCCATTTCGTTGTATCCAGATTACCACTCGAGAGGTTCCTTCTTCTCCTCACCACGATTTGTCTTGGGAATGGGAACAGCCTTGGCAGCCAGCTTACCACCCTGTCCAGGACGCTTCAGGTAACCTGAACCGTCGAGCCAAGGGGTGTTTTGTGTCATGCGTCGCTCAAACTCGGAGATCTTGTCTTCCTGCTGCATAGTCAGGCCAATATCGTCGAGGCCGTTGACTAGGCAGTGCTTGCGGAACTCCTCGACGTCAAAAGAGCAAATAGTCTCGCCAGCAGCGTTCTTGATCAGCTGGTTAGGGAGATCAACTTCAATGTCTCTGTTGGCGCGAGCTTCAGCGGCAATGGCCTCCAGGTCGTCCTTGTTGTCAATACGGATGGGAAGCATGCCGTTCTTGAAAGTGTTGTTGAAGAAAATATCAGCAAAAGAGGGAGCGATGATACACTTAATTCCAAAGTCGAGGAGGGCCCATGGGGCGTGCTCTCGAGAACTACCGCATCCGAAGTTAGGACCAGTAACAACTAGGGTCTTGGTATTTCGGAAAGACTCCTGGTTCAAGACAAAGTCGGGGTTCTCGGATCCATCCTCCTTGTATCGAAGCTCGTAAAACAGAGCGCTGCCAAGACCGGTTCGCTTGATGGTCTTAAGGAACTGCTTAGGGATGATAGCATCGGTGTCGACGTTGGATCGGTCCAGAGCAGCGGCAGTGCCCTTCCAGATAGTGAATTTGGGCAGGCCAGAAGCGGAGCCGGCAGCGCTGACTAGGGTGTTGGTGTGAGGTTGAGAGTCCTGAGGCTGGTCGCCAATCAGTTCGCGCTCCTCAGAGTCATCCTTGGTTCGCTCGTCTACATGAGGTTCCTCAGTGGGGAGCTCACGGGCCTTGAAGGCGGACTGGTGAGTGTAGTGAGATAGCTTTCGCACATCAGCCAGCTTGCCAACAAGGGCAGCGGCGGCGGCCATAACAGGAGACATGAGATGAGTTCGGCTGAGAGCACCCTGTCGACCTTCAAAGTTTCGGTTCGATGTACTAGCACATCGCTCCTTAGGGGCCAGGATGTCAGGGTTCATGCCCAGGCACATACTGCAACCAGCCTCTCGCCACTCGAAACCGGCATCGACGAAGATCTGATCAAGACCCTCCTCTTCGGCCTGAGCCTTGACAAGACCAGAACCAGGGACGACCATGGCGCGCTTAATGTTATCAGCAACCTTGCGGCCCTTGACAACATTGGCAGCAGCTCGCAAATCCTCAATTCGGGCGTTGGTGCATGATCCGATAAAGACCTTGTCGACGGGAATCTCCTCCATGGGGGTTCCAGCGGTCAGGCCCATGTACTCAAGCATGCGACGGCCGGCAGCCTTCTTGCTCTCGCTGCTGAAGGTCTCGGGGTCAGGAACACAACCCGTGATGGGCACGACGTCTTCGGGACTAGTTCCCCAGGTAAGAGTGGGAACAATGTCCTTGGCATCGATGAAGACATCAATATCATACTTGGCGCCAGGATCCGACTGGAGGGACTTCCAGTAGGCAACGGCGTTGTTCCAAGTCTCAGAGCCATACTTTGGGGCCAGAGGACGACCCTTGAGGTATTCGAAGGTAATCTCATCGGGAGCGACCATACCAGCACGGGCACCACCCTCAATGGACATGTTGCAGATGGACATGCGAGCCTCCATGCTCAGGCTGCGGATGACAGATCCACAGAACTCAATAACAGCACCAGTACCTCCAGCAGTACCAATCTGGCCGATGGCGTGGAGGACAACATCCTTTGAGCTGACACCGGGGGCCAGCTCACCGTCGACTTGTATTCTCATGTTCTTGCTTCGCTTGGTGATCAGGCACTGGGTGGCAAGAACGTGCTCAACCTCACTGGTACCGATACCAAAGGCCAGAGCACCGAAGGCGCCATGTGTTGAGGTGTGGCTGTCACCGCAAACAACGGTGGTTCCAGGGAGAGTAAAGCCTTGCTCGGGGCCAATGATGTGAACAATGCCCTGTCGTTTGTCGCCGAGGCCGAAATATGTGACACCAAATTTCTTGACATTCTCTTCCAGGGTGACACATTGTGTTCGTGAATCGTCCTCCTCGATAAAAGAAGCAATATCCTTCAGGGCTTTGCGGGAAGATGTGGGGACGTTCTGTAAGATCTGGGGTTAGCAGGGTTTCTTCATAATCGCCATTGTAAGTTGGCTTCCGGTTCAATTGGTGAGTCCTACGTGATCAGTGGTAGCCAAAGTACAATCCGGTCTTCGGACCTTTCGGCCTGCATTTTCGAGACCCTCGAAGGCTTGCTATTGGTGATTGTGGTTAGCGGATATTCACGGCCAATGTAGATCTTTGGGCGGCTTTGAACTTACTGGTGATGTCACTTCGTGAACCAGGTGTCGGTCTTTGGCCAACTTTTGTTAGCCACAGTGTTCAGAGATACAATTTAGTAGACAGAAACATACCAATGTAAAGAAGAATCGTGCCATCAAGCTTCTCATCGACAATGTGTGCTGAAAAGACCTTGTCGTAAAGAGTCTGAGGAGTTCCTACAGGAGCAGGCATTTTGACAATGGGGTCGCACTGAGCGAGACCGTCGAATAGTGTATCGGGGAGAAGATTTTAGTGAAGTGACGGAAGTATAATAGGAGACGTCTTGAAATCTGGCTCTTGTTGGTTGTTGAAGAATAAGGGAGAAGATGTAGTTGCTACGGAGAAGAGAAAGTCGAACTCTCTTCTTCAAAGGAGGAAAATGGTATAATTTAAAGCTGAAAGGGGAAGAAAACAGGAAACGATCTGGAATTGGAAAGAAGGCGTTCTCTCTCTGGTTTATCAACAAAATTTCACCCAGTGGCCCCCTCTCCCGTCTAATTCCACGAGCTTCATACAAGGCATGAAGCGGCCGATAATCGGAGGGGTCCGTTTCCGGCCGCAGACCGTCAGCAATTGAAGCTCAGCAAAAAGGAAGGAAGCCCCAAGACGGGCGCCAGCGCGGGGTAGACCCACGGCTCTTTCCTGCACTGATTGTTAAATGCGCGACACCCATTGGTCCTCGACTCCGATCCTGCCGGTGGATCGCCACTTTTTCAACCTCCGATGTCAAAAGTCCAAGAGCTCCGATTAATTTTAGTTTTGCCGCTCTCAAGACTCCACGGTCTAATTACGACATCAATTGCATTATGTCGTTCAATGCCGAGTCTTAGACATGTACCGATTAGCTAATAGTATCAATTTTTAGTAGGTCTTTGCATAACTCAAGACAGTGCCCTGAAGAATGTCCACGCCTCAGGGTATCAGAAAAATTGACTACTAGAAGCATAAGAGACGAAATTAGTAGGTCAGTTTATGCTCTTTAGACTATACTTCTTAAACTACTCATTTTTATACCCTCAGGCTTAGGAGGCCATTCTTTCTGTTACCCACTAGCCACGATTGGTGATTGAATACTTACTATGTAGGTAGATAACCATAGGGCTTACAGATAGTGCTAGTAATGCATGATTTATTAATTCTGTACCGTAGAAACATATCATATAATCATCTAATCGTCTACTCGTCTATTTTTACCAATCCCCGCATCCGCCATCGGCGCAAGCCTTCCCCCGGTTTGCGGGATGGGCTGGAACACTGAATACCGCCCCGCCATCGAACCATGCCTGGTCTCGCCGGCACCGGTCGACGGTCTCTTCCCGCAGGGCTGTTAGTTACTCGTAGGGGTATACTCCCGTCAAACTTCGCTGGAACATAGCTAAGGCTTCATCAGCCATACAATCCATACAATCCTGGTCTTCATCCATACAATTTAACGCGATAACCGTCAACTCCATACCCCACACCAACACCATTGATAACCCGAATATCAGTGGTAACGCGAGACAAAGGCTCACCAAGTTCACCCAGCCACGGTCTTCTCGATCAGCGCATCTCCAATACGAAGACCTAGTATCGAACACAGGCTTTATAGCACCAAAGTACAATCTCAGAAGCCACGTGCTGTACTCGTTGACCGTTTGCACAAACTCCTTGATGGCCTCCCACAGCCCTCCCTCTTGACTCTGGCAGTATTTATTGCTGGAAAGATCTGCGGTGTCGCCTTCGGCGTCTTGGTGTTCTTGAAGACTGTCTGACGTCTGCGCACCAAGCTTCATTGCTTGTTCGCTGGGTTCCGTGCGATCTATTCCCGGCAGAAGACATCTGTTGCCTAGTTGGGCACTGTCTTTCACAAGAATGGTCTGTCCGGTCTCCTCCATTCCGACACCCTTGTCGTCTGTTGCATAGGTGGATATTGGCAAACTGCTGCATCGGTGCTGTGTTGTTGACATTCCTCCTTGCGGTACCGTGTTGTTGCACATTTGTGCCTGCGGCTCTTGCATCGAAGACACTTGATGGTTCCCCAACACAGAATTGGTCGCTAGAATATCGCACAGAGACCCTAGTTTCGGCAATGAACTCGGCCCAGGATTCTTTTGGGATTGATCCGAACTGCTTGGCGTTGTCCCGAAGTGTTGCACGTTGCGAACTACCCGGTTCCGTCTGCGCTTGTGTTGCAGACTCTCTTGGATTTGTCGTCCCCTTTTCTGGGAAAATATCGTTGGTGTCCGGACGCACCCAGTAGTGATGATGGTGTTTATGGATGCACACGCCTCCTTGACCTCGTACATGTTTGTGGTGTCGTGATTCGTGTTCTGTGCGCAGATCGGTTGAATGTCGTGATCTCTGATCTCGAGTATTGTTTGGTAGAGCATATTGAGCTGAGTGAGATTCTTTTTGACTATGTCTTTGCTGGCTTCTATTTCTTTGGCTGTCTTGGGTAGATTTCGCAGCCCTGGCCACGCTATCGCTTCTCTTGTTGGAGATGGTAGAGCGGTGAGGCGATCTTGAGTCGCTGACCGCTCTGCCTCTTTCTGGGGTAGTGGGTCGGCCTTTCTCCCAACTCTTGACGCTTGACGCCTTAGAAGAAGCTGGACTATTGGCGACGGCTCTGAGCTGGCCATCTTCGGTTGCTCCCAATTCAATCGTCCTTCTCGGCTTTCCATTAGGTGCGAGTTCTACACGCGCCCTGTTAGAGTTTGAGGAAGGTCTGCCGGGCCTACTGCTTGTCGGCACTGGTTTTCGAGGGATTCGAAAACGTCTTGTTTCGATACTGTCGACTGAATAGCGAATCTCTTGTGGCTTGTCGTCGAACCTTGTATGGAGCTGTTTTGCGGATTGCTCTCTCGGGAACTTGGCGTCTCGTTTACGTTCTTCACCAATGTCAGGGTTTTGTCGCGGCTGACTGCTGGAAGATCTATCGTCGAGAGATCTGGTGATGTTTGAGGGCAGGTAGTTGCCCAAAGCATTTTTGCTTGTCCTGTATCTGTTTGCTCGTTTCGGGTTTTGTCTAAAAAAGACTCCAGTGTTGCTTTGTTGGTGCCTGCATGAGTTTCCTTCACTTCTTGGGCATCAGTCATCTCCGTTGATTAACTACTCATTGCCTGCGCATGAATTTTTGGGGGCGTACCGTTATGCTCTGCGAATAGGTCTCCGTTTAGTCCAAGCTCGTCCGCGCTCTGCCGGAACCTAATGTCATTTTCAAAAAGTTCCAGGGCCGCATGAGATAGAAGCTCCAGATGAGTCTTCACCACTGTGTCAGACGAATTCGCACTTTCTCTGGATCTCAAATTAGTCGAGAGTGTTATGCCAGGGAGCTGTTCTTGCCTTGGCTGGTCCTCTGGAAGGCTTAGGTCTATAAGACCTTCGTACTTTGGCACGCTGTGATCGCGATGCGAGCTGCGCCCTGTAACACAAGAGAATCAGTAAATAATCCGAGGTAAGAGAGGAAATGAACTGACTTGATAGCACTGAGGTGCTTCTGTGAGATTGAGTAATAGGACTCAGATCAGGCTCCTGTACTGACGACCACTTGTTTGTGTCCCTTCGCCATTTAGCAAGCTGTTTCTCGATTTTCTCCTGACGCCGCAACTTCATAATGTCACGGTCAAAATGTATTTTGGCGATTTCAGCTTCAGCCTCTTTTCTTTTCACAGCCGAAGTCGCATTTTTGGCCTGGGTTTCGAGGTTTGCTAGCTTTTGTTCTGTCCTGACGCTCAGGGCACTATCACCACTCTCTGATGTAAGATCTAAAACACCAGTCTGCGGGTTGATGCCTTGGACTCCAAGGTAATCTCCACTTTCTATCAAGCTTTCTCGATCCTCTCGTGCCTTTTTTCTCGCTTTCTTCTTGGCTTCAAGAACCTCGAGTATGCCAGACACCACTTGCATGACTGGGACGAAAGGCTGCGCCCCATGAGCGTTACTTTGCATTTGCTCCCATTTGTCGTTCTTCGATTCTGTGTCATCGCCTGCGGCCTTTTGCTTGAGCTTGTTGCGCACTCTCGGAGGACCCAAGTTGTTCCACCTTCGCTGGGTGGGTGGTTTCTGGCCTGTAGCTGCTTTCCCTTTGGATAAAAGACTGTGTTCTGGTAATAACTCGCTTAGATTCTTTGTTGTGTTCCAGTCTACTAGACGATCTGAACCGCCTATGACACTTTGTTGACCAGTTCGGCGATTGATAGCCGGAGGTTGCTCTGATAAAGGCCAACCTGTAGATGAATCACTGTCGTTTTTACGCGCAGGAGAGACCAGTTGAGTGCCGCTTGTTCCCCCCTTGCCCCAGTCTTCTTTAGTTCTCAATGTTCCACCTCTTTCTGGACAATGGCTTGGGAGTTTGTTCTTGAACCAATCCCCTACGTCTCCTAACGTGACACTCTGGGCAGGCTCCTGCCTTTCTCTCAGCCATTCACCCATATCTCCGAGCGTGAGTCTACGGCTGAACTCATGGCGGGCATGAGAAGCGTTCCGTGAACGTGCAGATGTAGTTGGCCGATCGGTCGAGGCCCTTCTGCGTCGGAGAGATGACCAATGGGGCTTTTTTGGCATTGCTGTGTAGAAGCGTCTTTGGGACTGCTTGTGGTCAGAGTTCTCCCTTCTGTATAATTCCCTTTGCGTTACCAAGCAATGTAGAGTTGAATGGATACCTATGGAATATCCGATATCAGTTAAAATGTATATATCATATCGATGGGATCCAAGACTAGGGGTTCAGAGAAGGCTGCAAGTTTGGAGGATTACGTTGAGCATTCATTACCTTAGTACCTACGGATAGATATAAACAACTTGATACTTGGGCCAATACTACATGGGCACTACCTACTAAGGTAGGTAGGTAGGAATGTGCCAAATGAACGCAGTTGCCTCCAGTCTTCCCATGACTGAGGGAAGTCGTCGTCGAGGCGAACCTACTACCAACTAGCTATACCAGGGTTTCCCCTCTACCTAGAGGTCTTGAATGAATGCCTTCGATCTCTTTATCTCCGGGAAGCAAAGCTCAATGCATTGGATGCATGGTCAGGAGAAAGGGTATTAACAAATTATTATTCTGAAATCAGACCTAAACACCGATCCTTACCACCAGTATAATCTATAATACAGTCCGTGTACACAGACTACCTAGATAAATATTAAACAAAAGAAGAGGGTAAGCTACTAGCCTACCAAAGAGGACGACGGCTCTCTGGTGGTGCTTGTTGCCGATTCAACCCTGCAAAGGGATTGCCGCTACCGCTTAGTTTTGAACTCGTTAATCGACGGCTCTCTGCCTTTTTCGATGGCGTTCCTGCTCCCCAATTTCGCTGCTCGTATGCTGCCATTTCTCGAGAGTTGCGCGGAGATGCCGCCCCTTCAGGGTTAAGCTCTTTCAAGCTTGTAGCCTTTTTAAGAGGTGACTTGTTATGGGTATGTATGCCCATGTTTCCGCCAAAATTGATTCCTTGAACCCCTGAGGAGGTACCAGTCGAGGTATACCCTGGGGGTAAACTTTGACGGGGCACGACGCTTCTTTGGCCGGTAGTAGGCCTGAAGGCTTCTGATCGTCGGGTTGCCGTAGGGGGTGTAAACATGTGTGGCTTCAAGACGTTGTTGGAGGTTGGAGTGACCGATCGCTCGTCAGGGGTGTCGGTTCCGGTGTATGGGTTAGAGTGAGCTTGGAAACCGTGGCGGATCTGAACAGTAGGAGTGCCGGTTTGGACAAATTCCTTGTAGTCACTGGGTTGATCCAAGGAGAATTGTGTACCGATATCGCGAACTGTTGGATGGAGACGAGGATGAACAAACTTGGTATCGTACTCCTTCATCACTTGCTCCTGAATCACGGCCTTATCCTTTGATTGCTGCGCAAATTGAGAGCAGAAGAAGAGAAGCTGAGCAGAGATGAGAATTTGCAGAAGCAAAGTGTTGAGAACTGTCACACTTGGCCGCGGGTCGAGGGGGGCCAGAGGGAGGAATATCATGTAAACCAGGACATGTCCGGGACCAAAGAGACAAGCGAGCCTCAGTGAAACTGGGAGAGGATCCCAAATTGACAACTCCCAAACGTCCGACGCCTTGTCAGGATGAGCTCGCGACTCGGCAGATTCAGGTGTTATCAGATTCGCGAGGTAGCTCAGGGGTGTAGAAGGCGATGCGCCGAACTGGTTGACTTTCACGCGGCGCGCAGAGGGCGTTGACATGGGCTTGTCGACCTTGGCTAAAAAGAGTCGGTACTTGCGAGTTCGTGTGATCGTGTAGAAGGCGTTGGTAAAGGAGAATGCAGCGAGGATCCAAACGATAGGATAGACCTTCACAGTGCCGGGTGATTAGTATCAACTTCATACGAAAACCAAAGAGTACTTACAAAGAACGAAAGCCAGCCAGAACTAGTATCATCGCTGAAAATGTCATCGCTCTTGGTGGAAGAACCTGAATTGGCGCGCGCAAGCAGGAATAAAAAGTTCATGGCCAGGCCCATTTGTGTTCCAGCGGTGGCCGAGTCCCAGTCTCTCGTCTCAAGCTCTTCTGATAACCACAGCAAAAAATCCATTGGATTCATAGCAGCCATGATGCGCTCTCTAAGCGGCTGCCGGCGTACTAGACGTGGCATGTCGACTGAAAGGGTTTATGTCGTCTTGGAAAAGTAGAAATTTGAGATCAGAATACGCGACACGATGCCCTAGTCGATGTAAGAACGACGAAGAGGGAGATGGCGACGACCTGGCCAGAGATTGTTTACTTTGAAAGTCTTGTTGCTGAGGACCAGGTTCAATGGAGTCTTTGTTCGTGGGCTAGATGGACTAACGTTAGGTGACCTCCACTGCCTAACTGGGCGACCAGTAGGGGCTTGGTGGACCTTACTGCAGCGTCCACAGCGGGGATGGTCAGAGCTTCCACAGCGAGAGCAGTCCATCTGCATAGAGCGGAGCCTCAGGCGCCAGACCTTCCTTCTGCGCAAGGTACCTATCTCAGTTGCAACACATTCAACCTAGCGCTTTCAACTCCGACAAGAGGAGCAAGATCGCAAGAAAATTCAATCCTCCAGATGGCTTCGCAAGCAGACTACAAAGATCGCCAGTTCCTGGCTGTTATTGGCGATGAAGTACGTCTTGTGATGAAAGGTTCTTTGTTTGATGCTTTGCGCTGACGTAGCTCAAATCAAGGACTCCGTAACTGGTCTTCTTCTTGCTGGAATCGGCGTGAGTCTTTGAAATCATTACGCTTCTTCCATGCTGTAAGCTCATTGAATGATATAGCATGTAACGACAGGTGCCGATGCCCAGAAGAACTTCCTCGTTGTCGACGCCAAAACCGACACATCTGCCATCGAGGCTGCGTTCGACCGATTCACTGAGGACCGAAAGGACATTGGCATCGTGCTCATTAACCAACACGTCTGACTCTTGTATCACGCATGGTTTCGCTGCAAGGCTGATAGTTCTACAGATCGCGGAGCGAATTCGACACCGTATCGATACCTACACCGCGGCTTTCCCTGCTGTCCTAGAGATTCCAAGCAAAGATCACCCCTACGACCCTGAGAAGGATAGTGTGTTGAGACGAGTGCGACGCCTGTTTGGAGAGTAAAGCTGTGGTTTTACCGGCGTATGGGCTTGTTTCGGGGTAATGAAGCGAATAGCATAGGGGCGGCGATCAATCTGGCCGAATGACTCGCGAGCCAGTATTGTGTTTTATCGACGTGGTAACGTTGTGCAGGACTGCAGGGCGATGCGTATACAGTGGAACGAGGTGGAGTACAATGCGATGGACTCGTTTGTCAAGTATGCTAAATAGATTCTAAAGCCGCTGCAATATGCTCTACTTGAGCTATAAATTCACCAAAAACCAAAGTCGACAAAGAAATCCATTAGACCGTGCCCAGCTGTAAGTCATGCCATCATGCGTATGTTGTGTGCGCCATAATTCCAATCACAGATCGCTGCCAAAGAAACCCTTGCTGCTACGAGAGAAGGTGACGGTTGCCGTCAAACATGTAATCTGTACATCATCGGCAGTGAAAACATCGGCCAGCACGGTGTACTTGCCCTGCGCTGAATTAGCAAGACAGTCAAAGTTGGATAAGAAACGTCCACGTACAGATGGAATCTCAGCAGGAAGGTCTACGCTCTTGATAACCTCGACTTCGCCCTTTTCGACGGGACACTTGAGGTCGACATTGCCAATCTGCTCGCAGAGATCGGCCTTGGTGCTGATGAGGCGGATGAGGCCATACTTGACGGTCAAGAGGACATAAGCGCCCTCTTCGATCTTCTGTTTAACTGATCCCTTGGCCTTAATCAAGAGTTCCTGGCCACTATCGCGACATTAGTACCTTATCATGAGTCGGAGGACATTAAGCGGGGTAGCCGTACGCCTTGGGAGGGTTGGGAGACAAATCAACACGGTCAATCTTAATAAGATCGGCTGCGTGGTCTCCGGGGCAGAACTCAAGAGGAGAATCACCAGGAATCTTGAGGTCGTCGCTAATGGTGAGTTCGGGAGCCTTGCCATTGAGAACACTAAGAGCCGCCGCTGGCGCCAAACAGGCAGTCAGACAGGCGGTGACAGTAGAGAATCGCATGGCGCCTGGAATTTGTTGGGATTCGAATGATTTCTGGACCGTTAGTCGATTACGAAATGATGCGAAGTGGTCAAAGATATTGATGAAAGTCGTGTGAAGTGATGGAAGGTCGTTATCAAGGTAGAATGGCGGACGGCGAATGGCTTAGTGTTGAATGCGTCATGGGACTGATGCTCCACCTTTTGTCTCAACGACTGGCCAAGAACGGCTGAGGATTGATGCCTTACCGCCTTGCAGTCTGCAAAAGTAGTCGCGGGCCGCATCTGAGCTGGGGGGTACTCTACGGAGAAGGACGTACCTACCTGGAAGGAAGCAAAGTGCCTCCGCTTATCAACGCTGGACTTGCGTCCAGACCCGGAACATTGCAGGGGATTCAGCGACAGTGACATCGCAATGACGCTCGCATTGTTTTTCCTGCTATATATCGAAATTTAATCAATAGCATCGAATTCTAGCATGAATTTGTACTGTTATCTATCTGATTCCTAGATAGCTGCTCACCTCAAGATGATCACAGTGGCTGCATCACAGTAGCTTATTCTCATGCAGGCAACAAGTTCCTGCCTCTAGTGCTCCTGTGGAGGTGGAACGCTGCGCGCAGAATTCCCGTGCCAGCCTCCCAAGTTTATTTATTTATGGTTAGCGCCAGGAGCCCCAGCAACACAATTCTTTTGTGGATCCTGAGGCAGGAAGCTGTGCACGGGCCATGTATGGATCCTGTATATAACCCAGCTTTTCCTCCAACCTCTTTTCAAAAAATCATACTTACCTTGTTCCGAGGAAGCCAGCTCATGAATTGGCTTCCTCAGCATGGAAGGCCTGCATTGCACATCGCGGAGTCGTTTCCTTGCTCTATTGTCCTTCGGGGCCGTAGGGGGCGGAATTTTTGATTTATAACCCTCTTTCATTGTGATCTGTTGCTTGCGACGGACATGAAGAAGGACACAGTTTCGAATCCTATGTTCAAATCCATTCGAAACGCAACTAACAATACCCAACATTGACTGAGTAGTCGCGCTGTACGTCTGATGGGGCTCGCGTAAGGTTAATATGTCAATTATGTTTGAAGAACTCGGATGGAGCATGGTGAGACGCTTTGGTTCCTCTAAATAGTCTCTGAACTGGAATCGAGTCATGGAATAACGGCGCTCATGATTCTATTGGTCTTGGTGCACAGAAGCTGGCGTGGGCTGCTGGATGGCATTTTGCATTTGTAGACAGGTGAATCCCTGCTCTCAAGTCCATCCTCGTCACACAATATCGCACTGTATGTACTAGAAGCGGTATCTTTCCCCGCTCCTAACAACTCATTTCCCATCACCTCGATGTGGTCCATGGTGTGAAGGCTAAGGTTTCGTCACGAAAATGTACCAGTCCAACCAAAAACAATCGAATAAGTGAAAAGCTGGGTGATCACACGTCTCGTTTATCTTTGAACTCCCTCCCCATCATGGAGCGGAAACTGCACCAAGACTCGAAAGTGACGGCAACGGGACCAGACGCGCATAAAGCTCATTGCGTATGGTTTACTAGAGTACGACGCGGCTTCATGTGTACGTGGACGACATCCATGCCCCAGTCAGCCAAGCATGAGTGCGAATACGGCCAGCATCGCGAGACAGACGACACAATGATGATAAGAGATCGCTGCACACATGTGTTGTGGTCAGTTCCATAAGCAGATTGTCAGACGAGCTTCGATAGATATCAAAATTCATAGTATACAGAGAAACGTCAAAGATATCTATCTTCTCAGCATTTGCGTTTGCATGATGCGGCATAATGTATTGTTCCTTGATGATGACGCGATCAAAACCACTATTACCACGCAGTGTCAGCTTGCAAGTTGCTACGCAATCATCATATCCCATCATGGAAGTTCGCAGGTCCCAAATTCGATACTCTTTGCGCAAGTTCATGTGATTGGCTCAAGTATCTGCACCAAAGAACACAAAGCTGGCCCATGCAAACTAAGCCAATCAAGATCAACAAGGATATGCCGTTCTGCCATCGTGCAGCGGCTGCGTACACAGTATGAGTCTGCAAACCGAACAAAAGGGACAGACTGCTGAAGAACCAAGCTCTTTCAACGAGTGACGGGTGTGAAAATGATTTTACAAATCAGAAACAGAAGAATTGAATTGAATTCACAATCGGAACAAAATTGCAAAACCTTTTCTACTGCGATTCAGGATATCTGTTTGCATACACCTTTTCCGTCAACCCGGGAGCTCCCTTTTTTGTGAGAGCCAAGGCGAGACCAATCAAGACGACATTCATTTACATCTTACAACTAGAAAGCTAGTACCTACCGAATCAGAGTCAAAGCTAGCCCGTGGCTCCCACGACTTGATGTTCCCCTGGGCCCTACCTCGGCGGCTTCAATTCGTCTTGGGTCTATCACCCGTCGCTCTGGCCTCTCGTTTCACCAGACGCGACGTGAATTGTGGCGTCCAGGTGTCAAATTTCAAGCACTCCGCCCAGATCCACTGTGTTTCTACCCAATCAGAGCTCGCATGACCAGAGCCAACCTAGACCAGCGTCAGCTGCCAACTGCTGCTCTGTTTTCCTTTGCTTTTCCCTTAGGTGGCTTTGAGCATGTCCAGGTTATGTGCCTGGTGGTATTCGTCATTCTGCCTTTGAAAATCTGGTGAACCCCCCTCCCAATTCCTTCGCTCCCCATTCATACCGAATTGCTCTATTCCTAGTGTCAGTTCATCAGAGAGAGGTCGAGCAGACTCGCAAACTCGAAAGATATATGTCTTTGCATTCTTTGTCTCATCTTTCAAACTTGCGTCTCTCGAGTCCCGGCGGCTTCACTCATGGACCCTTTCATTTATGAGTCGAGCCCCTGCCTGGCTGGTCGCTCACGCCAACAAAAACCCGTCCATACGCAATTTCCAACAGAAATCTTTCTCATATCTGGGCTCTTGTGTTTTCCTCCCCCCTCCGAGCCCTGGAACAATGCCATTCATTGTTAGTGCCTCAGGCCGAGAAAGCGTCGGCGTGTGTGCCCAGGTGCCCAGCTTGCTGCACTAAGATTTCTCCTTATCCACCACCAGTCAAGGTTTGGGTTTAGCGCCATTTGTCCTTTTGTCCTTGTCTCGTCTCTTTCCTTCCATGTCTCTCTGTTTTGTCTTTTCTTTGGGGGGCCACTTCCACTTCAGTCCTTGACCCTCACTCATACACTCACTACTTGTTGTTCATTTGGGACTTCCACCCAATCCAGCCCAGAAGTTCCAGCAGAATTTTCCAAGTCCGGCTCAGTGGCCCATTCAATTTGGCACAATCTGTTGTTATCATGTCTTCTCCCGGCTGCTGAGAATTGGGTGGGAGGCACCCCAGTGGATGAGAAGGGCGAGCGAAGTGCCGCTGATGAGTGTACTAAGCTACGGTACGTACCTTTCTCTTTTTTTACTTGTTCTCACTTCCAGGTGTCTCCCCCTCTTGGGTAGCCAACTGGAAATGGGACCCCCAGGCCCAGGCAGGTCCCAGGTCGGTACCGCAGTACCGCACTTGTCTTGAAGCGCACCCGGTCTTGTCGCTCCTCCCCATCCTCTTTCTTCCCATCACCCACCCTTCTTCGTGCAGTCCACGATCTTCAATCCTCAACTCTCGTTATCTCTTCTCTACTTCAAGCCCTCCTCGTGTACGGATTGTGTTTGAGTAGTCTCGAATCATATTTTTCTCCACCTTCACCTTACACCTTTCGCCTCTTAAACGACAAACCTTGGTCTTCTCGACACTCGACACCTCGACCTACCTCGTCCCAACCCTGCCGTGACCGATCACAACGAGTTTTGCGAAAATACAAACCGACCGACAGTGTACATCACACGCCTTCGAACGACGTCTACGCTTCGTTTTCCGCCTCTAGACTTCGACCTGACTAACGTCCCTGACTTGGTTCACCTTGTCGTCGCGCCTCCGACTTCCTACCCTTACTGTCGACGCCTCGGCCAGTCTCGAGTCTCTCGTTCTCACGCTTGCGATTCTTGGCTGTGAGCGTACGGGACGACCTTTGCTTCATTGCATGGGACTACCAGCAGTCATTCTGGTTCGCGACTCTTCTTTACGGTCACCCCGACGCGCCCTCTGAACGGCGTCGTCATGCCCCAAAGACCGCGACGTTAGATAAGACACACACTCACTCCGGTGTTCTCTGCATCATCTTCGTTATAGAGTATGACCGAAAAACCGGCGTCGCTGTCTACGCAGTTCGCGGCTCCTAGTCAGATCGCTCCTGTTCCGCTGGGCGCAACACCCAGAAACGACGCTGCTCGACCAGCAGACGGAGCGGAAGAGGAACCATATACAATAAAGTGTATATGTAACTTTTCTGACGATGATGGAAACACCATTTATTGCGAAACTTGTGACACCTGGCAGCATATCGATTGTTTTTACCCTGACAATCGAGAAGAGGCCATTCGTGAGGACTTTGCTCATTCTTGTGCAGAATGCAAACCCCGACCTCTCGATCGTCAGAAGGCTATCGAGCGTACTCTTCGCCTCAAAAACGGAGCGGTAGGAGACGAGCGTATTGACAAAAGAACGAAGCGACCCCCCTCCAAAAACCACAAGAAGAGATCAAAGCCGGCCGATCTACCAACAAATGGCCACCTTAGCCCCCAAGAGAATGGGAAACATAACCATCCCGCCGACCAACATCCTCCGCCTAAAAGGGCGAAACACCGTTCTTCACAATCCGTCAGCTCCCAAGCCCCCAAACGGAGCCCTTCTTACGGAAGTGGCCGACCAAATACTGTCCATCCTCCAAGCCCTGCTACCACCCCACCAGACCTCCCCGAAGATTTTCAAATTCACCAGTACTCCCAAGGGTTTTACAACTTGTACAATGCAAGAGATGTCCCCGACTCGCACAGCAATGCCTTCGCTAGCCTCGCTATTCCCACAGCGTTATCTCGCTGGCTTCGCGACCCCAATACGATGAGGAGTGAAGTTGGCAGACGCCATTCGGATGTTTTTCAAAAATCATCCACCAATCTGGAAGCTAATAAACCCAACCTTGAAGTCGGTGATACCACGAGAACACTGGATGACGGCAAGGCTCTCAGATGGAGGTTTCTGAAATCCAGCACACCAATTGAAAAGGACGTGCCTCTAGTGGAACTGAATGGTGCAATCGGTTTCCAAAAAGACTATTGCGCTGACCCAGCAAATCTCTGGGCTGACCTCTCTTCTCCTCTCCCTTTTGTTTTCTTTCACCCTGTCCTTCCGTTGTATATCGACACACGACAAGAAGGTTCTTTAGCTCGTTACGTACGCAGGAGTTGCAAACCCAATGCCCAACTAGACACATATCTTTCCGACGAGAGCGAATACCACTTCTGGATCGTCAGTGATAGGCACATATCCGCCAACGAGCAAATTACCCTACCCTGGGACTTTCGCTTAGAGAAGAGTGTGGATGCTCGCTGGCTTCATCTTCTTGGTTTGAGCGACGACGATTCCTCTAGCAACACAGAAATGCCCGTGGATGACACAGAGTATATGGCGATATCGAATTGGATGAGCCGGATCCTCTCAGAATATGGCGGCTGTGCGTGCGACCTGGATAACAACTGTGCGTTCGCACGCTTCCATCGCCAGTATCTCTATTTGAAGCAGCAAGTGCGTGGCCCGACGAAGAAGAAACAAAGAAAGTCCAAAACACAGGCTATCTCGCCCACGAGTACAGGACAGACTGTTACTAGCCGAGCCACGAGTGAAGGCCATATCGACGAAGGTGCAGATCACGACAACAGATCACAGTCCGGCTCTCTTCGAAGCAAACCCCCGAGCCGTGATCTAACTCCTCTAAGACAAGGCTCTTTCGATCAGCTTGGCATCTTGACTGAGCCAACAGACCGGGACAAGCGGAAAGTTGCCATGGTAGAGGACACATTTCGTCGTATGGAGCAGCAACAGCCACCGAGAAAGAAGAAGCGTGTATCTGATGGTACATGTTCCACTTCCTCCAAGCCGAAGCATCGCAATGGCTCAGTGGCATCCCACGGTAATTACGTTGATGCCGGGACATGTAGAAGCCATTCTGGATCACCGACCAGCACTTCCCCGCACATTCCTCAGAGGCCGTCGATGCTCACTCAGGCCCTTGCCGCCCCTTATCGCGAATCATCAGCGACACCCAGAGGAGTGTACTGCGATGCCGCAACACAAACCGACCCCGTCGAAGGTGCCTGGTTCAGCGAGCCCAGTCGATCTCCACGACCGAAGAAACGCATTATTCCGCTTTCGAAGCGTTTGCTTAACAGCCGCCATAAAGTCAAAACTGACGAAGAGGATCAACGAAGACGATCCTCGGTTAGCCAAGCGTCCAATGATATTGCGATGGAAGTTGACTCGCTTGTGGACCATGTTCCGGCGATCAAGCGATCAGATTCCGAGTTACCACCTTTGTTTCCTGCGTCTGGTGATGTCCCCATGACAGATGCCTCGTCGCCAGCTGCGACCCCTGTTCTAGGTTCAGCAGTGGGCGACACGTTTGCAAAAACCAAAACTCCGGACTTGAGGGTGCAATTGCCTCCTGTACCGTCGTTCGATAGTACTGGACTGGGAATTCACAGTGCGACAACTCCCCAGCCTGGGGCTGTCGCACATTCGCCTCTTTCAAATCCGTTACCGAGTCCTTTTGCACCGCCAGCCGTCAATGGCATAGCTGCTCATCCCAGTCAAGTAAAGAAGAAACTCAGCCTCAGCGACTACACGAAAAGTCGGATGAACAAGGCTGGTGGCAAGACTGCTGGCGGCCACGCTGTTCTTAAACCCTCCATCTCAAGCCCTGAGGACACAAAGGTCGACATAGTAATCGACTCACCCTCGATCGAGAACCCTACGGAGAGCATGATTATGGCTCCTGTTGCCGCAACAAATGGCTCCTTATAATACGAAGTGTTTGTATGTGTAATGCTGTCACTGTTTGAAGATTTTCTTTGTTATTTTTTTTGGGGGGGGGATGACGGATTCAAAAGCCTGGAGTTCTTTCATTTCTACGCACTGGCTGGTACGTCAGATGATTACCCCGATGATTTGGCGTTTGGGGCGGTTATAAGACACTGGTAGCGGACACTGATTTGGCCGGGTCTGTCAGATTAACCCAGTGTCTGAATGTAGTAACGGCGCAGCAGGTTGCTGCCTATGGGCCAATGGGATTTCTCATGATGAGTGACTGTGAGAGAAAAAGGACTGCCATGTGCCTCACTGGCAGGTTGTTTGTCGCGATCTTCATTGACTCGATGTCGAAGAGGCTTGATAAAGTAAAGGAACAGGAAGAGAAACATCGAGCATCAAAGTCTTTCCATCAAAGGAGACTCCAGGTGGCTCGTTTTATGTAATTATAGGCGTTACCCGTGCTTGCATGTACACATCAAAGTTATGTAGTGCTGCTTGAAATGATGGGAAATCTACCCTTTTGAAAGATGTATCATGTCCTGTTTCGCTTTGTGCCACACTATCCATACAGCATTCTATGAAGCTCTGTGAAAATGATCCAGTTCAAATAAGCACGGGGGGCATTTGGAAAGTCTTTTATTTATTAGTCTTGAGAAATGTCTATCTAGTAGGTTGAGCGAAGTTCTCTTCCAATTTTACCCACGCCCGGTTCTATCAAAAGTCGATATCTGTTTATCACTATACAGTAGTTCCCCAGTTGTCTTCCTTAAAGACCAGTAGCGCTAAACGGTGTCTCACAAACAGACCAAAAAGGCCAACAACAAGTTGGAGCGCAGTCACTTCGAGAGCTAACCGATCCTCACGAAGAGGACCACGCCAAACGAGCCAGAGGTTCAGGATAGTGAAGTTACTCGTCTCGACGAACTGGCCGTTCTCGTCAACGGTCACCTTTACGAGTCGCAGCTGACTGAGGAGATGGAGCCCGCGTGCAACCAGTGGGTGCGGCTGTCGTTCAGCAGACCAAGGGGTCACAGAGGGCTCGAGAAGGCCACTCCGAGCGTTGAAGTGAGGAAGTCGGTGGCGCGGGCAAGGAATAAGACCGAAGACCTGAGGGCATGAGTAAAGAAAGTTGAAGATTTGGGGGACGAGAAGGAGCCCAAGCGTCTTTGAGAAATGGCCGAGGATACCGACAACAGCGAAGACCATGCCTGAGAAGTAACAGTACGTGTCACCGACAAAGACCTTGGCGGGGTACCAGTTGTGGCAGAGCAAGGCGCATGAGACGCCGATCCACGGCAGAAGAAAGTAGAGAGAGAATAAGTGAGAATCAGTCGCAGGGTGCGGGTAGGGTGTGAAGAGGTACAAGCAATCGTTGAAGGCGAGGAGGAGGGCGACGACGACGCACTGCGAAACTTCAATACCGTTGATGCCAGCAAGCATATTGATGCTTTGTGGGCAGAACATGGCAACGCATGCCATGTAAACATAGTAGAGTGCGCCCAGGTCGAAGAGCTCACCAAGATAAGGTTGGAGCTGGAGCGGCAGAACGATGGATGTGACGTCGAAGTCGACAAAGTAGACGACCAGAAGGGGGATCGAGGCAATACCAGGAATCCACCACTTGTGTCGCCAACGAATGTCAAAAAGATCATCGCCAATACCTAAAAAGGCAATAGTCTGAAGAGAGATGATGGCACTCAGAAACGAGGCAAGCTATACAAGTTAGCGTACAATTAAAGAAGAAAAATGCTTGAGTTGATACGCACCTTGTTATGAGGAAACTTGTGCAGGAAACGCCCCTGGCTGACCTGCTCAAGCTCAACCACGACATCACGATTTCCGCCACCACTAGTAGCCGCGACAATATCCTTGTAGAAGGGAAATGGGATGAATACAATGATGCTGAGAAGATAGACAGCTGCACATACGGCGCCCATACACTCTGGAATCTCAGTGCGCTGCAGCTTGCTCATGTCGCGACCACGGAAGCCGGCGCGCATAAAGGTAGGGCCCAGCCAGCGTATCATGGCGAAGCATAGCGAGAAGCCAAGAAACGAGAGAGCCAGCGATGCAATGAGAGGTTCGCCATCGCCGTGGAGAGTGTTTGCGAGAACAGCGCAGGATGCGCCCGAGATGGTTGAGAGGGTGAGTATCTCGGTACGAGAGAGCGATGTTGTTGCTGTGATAGTCATGATGAAAGTGTGAGAGTTGTTGTTGAGTTAAGGAAGGGGAAATTGAAAGAAGGAAATGCGCATTATGAGCAATTTAGCTGCATGAATTACGAGCAAGCAAATCGTTGCATTGATTGTTGTGAGATGAGGTTTTTGGTGACACGTTGTTGCACTGCGGGACACAGAGAGACGTGGGCAGCCGGGGTGTGGAGTGAATGAATGAGCGATGGCCCTGAGCTGGGATACGCGGAAACACGTGCAACAAGATCTACCTTCCGACCGGAGATGAGATGAACTTTTTATTTATTATACCTTTGATCTAATCTATAAAGTAAAGAAGGTTTCTGGCCATAACTCGTAGGCATGCAAAATACCCAGGTATTTAAGATACCACCTTAGTAGATTGGATAGATGCTCACAGTATAAACAGTCATCACTCATTAACATCAAGATACCAAGAATTCAACACACGACATTAACTCATCCAGTTTATTCGCTTTTGAGGGTATATCGCTATCATTTCTAACTCCGAATCGTGTGTGCAAGCAAGTGAACCTAGACATGGAATCAGAGCAAAGAGTTTGTGCTTGCCAACCAGAACGATACCATCAGTCAAGTTTCCAGGCCAATCCTAATATCCAAAAGCGCCTTTGTTCCAAATCGTAAAAGTGATCCCATGCAGTACCGTCTTCCCAACCTTGTTCTATCTATCAGTCATTTTAACTTGCCTTTTCCTGGCAGCCAATGTCGGGGTATCTCTTGTAAATACTCGTGGTCGTCTTTCAAATTTCCTTCACAAATCCCACCTCAACCAGATTATCTGGGTTGATATTAAGGTTGGCGAGCTTGGTTCGCGAATTCTCGCGGACCCATAAGAATGCTTCCAGCGTTATTCGGCGGAAAAACTTTGTGAATCCCATTTTTTCCGCCTCTTGCACCCTCATGGTCTGCTTGCCCATCAAATAGACAGTCTGCGCTTCCTCCGCGGCCCGAAGCGCTTCTAGCTCACCTCGAAATTCTGGCGGCATGTCGTTCTCGTCAGGCGGGAACGGACCTCTGGTAATAAAGGTCATCAACTCGTTGACAATGATTGGTGCCAGGTTGGGTGTAAGAATGTCGTCCATGTAGCCATGTCTAAGTACGATTCGGTAACAAGAAGGAATTTTGGTAGTGACTCGAGCAATGACGAAGCGCTGGTCGGATGGCACTGTAGGCTGACATAGTGAACGCATGTGGAAGAAAACAATAACCTGCGGTCGCGTCTGAAACTTCCGTATGAACTGTGTAAAGACTTTGGGGATGTGATCGCCGGTGCCTCCAACTTTATCAAAAAAGATTCCGAGGCCTGGAGCAGTCATCACTTGTCCACCTCCAAACTCTGGTGAAAGCCTGAATCGTATCGACCGCATCGAGCCATCGCCAGACATGCCTCTAGCGATCGAGTTGTTGCGTGAAGTGCTTCGGGATGATAGCACGAATTCTGAAGGGTCGACCATATCCCTCTGCTCTGCCTCCCATTGTTGCTCTTTGCCCCATCGCCAAAGCATGAAGAACGTACTGAGGATGAAGGACAAAACTAGCGCAAACCAACCACCGTCGGGAACCTTATTCAGTGCTGCACTTAGATATACACCGTCGAGTAGTATGAATATGAGGAAACCCAGCAACACGACGATAGATTGTATCCGCCAGACAACAAGCGCCACCAAACTTACCATGCATGTCGTGATGAAGGTGACAATTATCACACACACTCCATAAGCGTGTCCTAAGCTTGTTGTCTACCAGATTCTAAGTCAGCTAATACGGCTTTGAAGAGATATGAGACAATAACTTACATTGTTGTAAACAGCCGTCACTACCACAGTCCCAATCATCAACAACCAGTTCGCGAGCGGCATGTAAATTTGGTCGTGAAAGCGACGGCTGGTGTGGACTGTTTTTATATGAGGAAAGTAACTTAGTCTCATGAGCTGCGAGATGAGTTGAAACGAACAAACGATCAAGGCTTGACTAGCGACAACAGCAGCAAGCACAGCAATGATGATGCTGAAGTACAAAGTGCTCTCGGGGACGGTGCGGAAAAAGGGGTTCGTGTATGCCAGTCCGGTCTTGTCCTGTGAGATGAAAGCTGCTTGGCCGCAATATGTCATGAGCAAGCATGGGAAAGCCAAAAACAACCAGGATAGCTGGATAGCTCGCTTTCCAAAAGCACCCAAGTCGGCGAAAAGTGACTCGACACCAGTAAACGCAAGCAGTAGCCCCCCGAGTGACTTCCAGCCGTGAGTTTCATTTCGTATTAGGTACGTGAAGGCGTAGTGTGGACTGAAGGCCTTGAGCACGGTGTGGTCGTACAGAACGAGATTGTATATGCTGATGGACAAGTTGTAGAGAAGCCAGACCACAACGACGGGAGCAAAAGAGGTGCCAATTTTAGAAGTGCCAAAGAACTGCAATCCGAAGAGCGCGACAAGGATTGCGCAAGAGGTTCCCACAATGGCAGGTCTTCCAAGGTCAGGCCGGATGACTTGGATTCCTTGAACGGCACCCAGTACAGACTGAGCGGGTGTCAAGATGCTGTCAGCGACAACCATGGAAACTCCTAATACACCAACAATCTTGAGGACGCTCTGGGCAACCCGACTTCTCTCCAAAAAGTCGCGGGCTATTCTTCCAGCTGGCGCCAAGTCGGCACCTGTTTCGCGGTCTAGGCGCACGACGATTCTCTCCGGACCATTGGGGTCTGTACGTGCAATGTTGGCGTATCGGGAAAGTAGCGAGTATAGGGCAAAGGTGCCTCCCTGTCCATCGTCGTCGGCTGATAGTACGATAAAGCAATATTTAACCGTCACAATGAGTGTGAGGGACCATATAATTATTGAAAGGGCGCCCACGAGGTCGTGCCATGACGGCTGTTCGGTGAATGTCGAGCTGAAAACATAGAGAGGGCTAGTGCCGATGTCGCCATAGACAACACCGGTGCTTTGCCAGGCGAGCCATAATAACACAACGCCTCTGTACGTCTTTATGTAGTAAACATGTCAGAGGTTTGATTCGTAATGCCACACTTTGTTATGCTGTCGGTGACCTACCTGCTTGTTCTCGCGACATAAATCCTCATGCTCGATGCGCTGTGCCTTTTCCTGATCGTGCAAGTCGCGGGCTTCAGGATCAATGGGGGCTGCGTCTTCGCTTTCCTCAGCAGCCGCATTGACCCAGGCTTCTATTCTCTGGTTGCGGGCATTGTAAGAGATCATTTCGATCGTGAGTCGACAAGGTCACTTGGTGACGCTAGGTCCGATTCCAAAAAGGAAGGGACCAAACCTTGGGGCATGGGCTTATATATTCTGACCCTCCATAGACTGACTAGAACCGGACTAAGATGGAGCAGGATGACGAGCCTAACCGAAAGTCTACACACACTACGACTCCGAACCATGCCTGTCAACGCCGACCCGACCTGGGTGAAACTGGCTTGTTGGTCCACTCGGTCAACAGCCACAATTCTAGTCTACCCGTTGACCTTTTCCACCTTGACTGCCAAGAAGTCTCGGTGCCATCGCCAAAGTGCTGATAGGTTCGAGCGTAACCGGGCAAGCTCGGATAAAGGTATTTTGTTTTCCAAATCTCTCCACCAGAGATCGTAACGTTTGAGGGTTTTGCTGCCAGTAGGAACGGGGCTGTGTGAGCCTTCCTTGCAGAAGCTAAAAGGCTAGGATGATCCAGTCCATCTCTCCTCACCTGCAGCACGAACGGCTATACCTAGGCACCGAGGGTGTGGCCGAGACGTTGCTCTCCCTTGAATAGAGTCGAAAGATTCGAGAATAATACCGACATGGAGGACACCCTACAGCCCAATAGCATGTCGAAACCTCCGCACATCACCAAATGACCCTTGCCCCTCCTCCAATCTGGGTGTCAATGAGTGCGGGGACAGCTGGAACTGGGGCGACGATTGCCCCATGGGATGGAGGTCAATAAACATTCGTAGTCAATGAGCCGTGGCGCTAGGACGCTTCAATCCCACTGCATCTGTCCTGGTTTCTTGGCTGCTTATCCTCTGCATATGCAAATGCACTGTAAAAAGAGTCTCTTTTTCGGCCCTCCGAGCCCAGCTGTTTATGTGTGTCTGTCAGTCTATCAGTCCATCCGTCTCCTGTCAGAAACCCACGCGAATAGGTACTTTGAAATTTGTGCCTCACTGATGCTGGATAACAAATCTGATATGTCTCATCGACTTAAAGGTGGGTAGGCTGGGTTTATGTTGTGGAATTGCATATTGCACATTACGACGCGTCCCCGATATTATGCCACGGTTAAGAAGTGGGTGTGGCCTGACGTTCCTTGCATCGAGAATGGAGTTTGTGATTGAGGTTGTTGTGGTTTCACCGTGAAAGCCAGTGGAGGTCGGTACGGGTATGCTACAGCGCGTGCCCAGACAAGTCCAGCGGGCTCGGGACGGGAAGTTACCACCTAAAAAGCCCACAAGTGTGGAGATGGAGGCATTTCTCGGGGACTTTTTGATATTTGCGTATGCTTATTCAGAGCCTGTCCCCTTCTATACCTTGCTCGTGTAAGCCGATTGCTCATTATATGGACCCTTGTCTTGGGTGTATCGCGAACTTGTTGATCGAATCAAAATTTTCAGCAACTTAATAATGAACTTGAAGACGAACACGAGGTTATTCATTCATGAGATCATATCCCTATATCAGGAGTTTATACGTTAAGTACATGGTCTACGTGTACGTCATGAGAGTCGACTGCCAAGATGAGACCCAAGAAAAAGATGCACTTATCAGGTGGCTCGGCGAAAACTTTCGTGCCGGTCAGCCTCTATTGTTGTCTTGGAGAACCCTTTGCGTACCCTTCACCACCGAGACAACTCTACAGATAGGTGCCATGTAAGTTGGTGGTGGTGGTAATACTTGGTTCATGCAATAGCGGGCGGGACGGAGGATTAATTAGCGACGGCGATTAGACGCCAAAGTTATTTTGGATGTAACATGAAGAAATATAGTACCATGAAAATCACCTAACATTATGTGATCATCTGTTGAGAGGTCTCAGACCAACTCCCATTCCACTAGGTACGACCAGCCCATCGCGCATCTGCCGACCTTGGCGAGAAATTCTTTGGCTGTGACTCCTGTTGCATCCTTGCGGCCATCGAAGCTGGTCAAAACGAGTAATCGTACCGATTTACCCCGGGGACCCAAGTCCCTCGCATTGACATCGAGCCAGTACCAGAACCCATTTGTTTCCAGGGGTATCATTTCATCTCTCTGGCCTTCACCTCGAGGAAGGCTGAGAAGCACTAAGCGCTCTTTGCCACCGCATTTCTCCTCCGTCCAGTGCTCACAGATCTTAGAGTATTGGAAGCGCACAATTTCTCCACTGTCGATAGAGATATGGCGATGCTTCGGCTCTATGCTTGGCTCTGAGATGCCTTCCTCGCTCGCGGTTCCACATACAGTAGGGGGCTCACCGTCAATATCCCCAGTGTAGTAGTATTCCCACGTCACAGGCACGCCGTTAGCCCGGAACTGGTGTCGCGAGTCTTTTGGGAAATGTCTGAGACCAAAATGCTCGTTGGCATACGTAAACTGTGAAGGGTTGAATTTCGCCACGTAGTTTTGCCCATCTACATGACCAGCTCCCCAGCAGGCGTCCAGCAGCTTCCAGTCACCGCCATCAATGCGTACTGCGTTCCAGGCATGTCCATCCGGCTTGGCTGGTGGCGGGCGTTCACCTTTCTTGAGTGGAGTATATCCAAACCCTTTTCCATGACCAGTGACAACCACACACTCAAGGCCAGCTCTGTTGGCGACCGCTTTATAAGTTTCTGCGTACCCTGCACAAACAGCTTTGCCAGAAAGGACAGTATCTTCTGCAGTCATATGCTTGATATTCTTGTTAAAGAATGCCTCGGTATCATAGTTGATATTGTAATGAAACCAGGTAAATATCGCCCGTGCCTTGTCTGTGTAAGAGGGGAGGGGACCACAAAGAACCTGTGCCAGATAACCGATCGGGTCGTTCCTTGGTAGAGAATGTCGAGGATACTGTGCGGCGATGGCATCAGGAGCGCTCCAATTACGACATATGAGGCACCCGTTTACGGGACCTGCTGCAGTAAAAGCCTTTGTTTCAAACGCTTCAATCTGAGCCATCGAGGGGCGAGAAGCGAGCGGCACTGGAGGTGGTTCATCTTCTGACTGTGGGTGACCAGGAATCGGAGGTCGCGCAGGCAGTGCCGGTTGAGTATCTTGAAGTTTTTCCTTGTTCGAGAACCCAAGAATAACTGGTCCTTTCGATTTTCCGTTCGTTGATGGCCTGGGTGGTATTTTTCTGGTCTGAGGTACTGCCTGAGGTTCAGGCGTAGCACCTGCCTGTGGTTTCCCTGGGCGCGATGGTAACCTTGGTGGAAGACTGGGTCGAACCGGCGGTGCAGGCTCAATGGCTCGAGGGGGGCGTGGCGATGGGGGAGCACGATTAGGCCTTGATTTCTCCTTGATTGCAGATTCTTTTTCTCTCCTTGAGGGGGGTAGTTTTGGAAGACTCGCAGGATCATAAGCTGGGGGCAATTTATAGCTTGCCCCGTCAGAGTTGACACTAGTTACTGACGAAGGAGGTTTGCCCGCTGACAATGTAGATATCGCTGAATTCTGCGACCTCTCCGAAGAATCAGAATTCCTCCTAACCATCAGACTAGATTGGGTCGAGGTGCGTCTCGGTGGTAAGGTCGGCGCAGACTGTGCGGTCGGGGTGCGGCTGGGGAGCGGAGGCGGGGCTCGCTGAGCACCATCTTGGCAGTTTTGCGCTGTGAGTTGTGGTGTTGACGCTTTTCTCGAGGGGCGAGGAGGGATTGATGGATTATTCTGCGACGGGCTTGGAGTAGTCGATATTACTGGTACTGTTTGACTCCGGCCTTCAATAGTTGGACGAACGGGAGGAGGAGGTGGTGGCGGTCGCTTGCGAACTGGTCCAGGACCTGGGCTTGGGCTTTGAGCGTTGGCAAAGCTCTTTTGTTTGTTGAGAGCAGCAATGCGCTCGGCCAAGGTGTTGAACTGGGGCTCTTCTGTGTCGGCCATTATGTATGTATGTGTATTTACTTTTGAGCAACAGCAGTGGCTTTGATGGTCACGGTGATGAACGCTGGTCGTGAACGATTTCAGATACGAACACACGAATATTTCATGTTGTTAGGGAATACGATATGCAAAGGCCCAGCAGGAAGCTTTAACGAAGGAGGTAGCGACAGAAATGAAAGGATGCCGGTTGAAAATGAAAAAGAAGAACAGAGGATGGTGGGAACGAGAGAAGGGCCAGGAAATCAATAAAAGTTCCTGGGCATCTTATAAGTGTCAATGAAACGGATGATTGAAGGGGTTGTACACAGCCCTGTATGTGGACCTGGTTTACGGAGCGGGGATGTAGGGGGTGAACAAATCCTCCAGCTAATGTTTCATGACGTTCTAGAGCCAACTGATATACAGCTTCTGGTAGTAGTCCTAGGTATTTGTTTTAGTGACGGCTCGAGTCCATGGTCATAATCATGACAGCGAAAACAACAAACCATCGTTGATCTTCTTGTTACTTACGTATTCGACTCTTGGTCATTCCATAGTTGACCATGGCCCCTTAATGAAACATAACTAATAATCTAACTCCCTTCCTCTGACAAGATCGTGCCGACTTGGCTCTTGGCAATTATGTGTCTACTACTAGACCCCCCCCCCCAAAAAAAAAAAAAACACGATCGACCTATTCACTGTACCTAGCGATCACAAACCCCTTTCCTTTCTCATCTTCGTAACGTTTTGGTATACCGTGTACTGACTCACATGTGTTTTGGAAAACAAGACAAACAAACACCCGCCTGCTCCAAATGCCGTATTAAAATGGGAGGCTGATATATGTGCTACCCAAGGCTCAGCTGGGTGTACACTTAGTGTTGCGACTGACAATCCTCAGCTATTCTTCAAAACCCGAGAACACGAGATATTGTAAGCTCAATGCTGAATTCTTGGGACCATCCAATTCTACAAACGCCTGGAAAGCATTCAATGCAAAGACTGGCAAATGTTATCTTTCTAAAAGTGGACTATAAATAAACGACCAAGAAACCAATGTAGGCACAACATCGGGTCGATTCAAACGATGGCTTGGCTAAAATGGGGTCTGGTTTTTTTTGTATTTTTATGGTGGAACAAAACTAGTAACGGGCATCCATCTATCTACTGGAGCATTGTGTTTGGTAGGATATCATATAACAAAACTCTTTGATCTGTTCACTGCACTGCAACAAACCCAGCGTCGTAGCTGTCCTTTGTCTACTATAGTCTAAGGAGCATAAGCTAACCTTGATTTCGTCTCTTATGCTTCCAGCGTTCAATTTTCTAATACCCTAAGGCCATTGTACTCATATGTATTCCTTGTCCTGCCTGCAGGGTCCCTGAGATGTTGGTAGCCATTCAGCTTTCCATGGTTGGCACTAACAAATGAGGCAGATCTTATGGAGCTGGGAATCATTAATCCGCCCCGCAGCCGCCGCCATTCACAGAACATCCATCCAATCCCGGCATCTATTCATAGCCCACCTCCACTAACGTTGACCCCTCAGACCTTGCCTACGACCTAGGGGACCTAGGCATCCTTACCCCGACACCAAGCGGCTTGCGACAGACAGATGTGACTTGGCTTAGTTTGCCTTGACTTCACTTGACTTGCTTTTTCTCCTCCATCCTCGTCTTTTCTGTTCTGTTCATCTATCTTCTTCACAACCAGAGACTTCTTCTCTGGTGCACCGTCGATTCGATCGGAATATGGGCTTTCTCCTTCTCCCTCTTACCGGCCCCAGTTTATAGCCTCCGTCTTAGCTTCTGTTGATCGACGCTATCCATTCGAGTCCTACATCGGCGCATGCCATCTCCATCCATCTCTATCCCCATCAGCGCGGCGCATACCTAGTCAAACCCTGGTCGCATCGCAAGATATTCATTCATCGCATTGCTCGCTTCTCGGCACTGAGCTCTCTTCCACGATCTGCCTACCCGCATATCTACCTATCAGCTCTGAACTGCCTGCTCTCATCCTCGTCGAGCCTGCCTAGTTGCCACGCTCCCCCCGCTCATTCATCATGGCTGTGGAGGAGGCCATTGGCAACGAGGCTGTCACCCCACCTATGCGCTCACTCACCTTTCACGATCTCCCAACTGAGATTCAACGGGACATACTATCGCATGTTCGTACTAAGCCTGCGTGATATCATGTTTCTTGTGGCTTTACTAATGCCTTGGCAGTGCTCTCAGTCTGACCTGATCTGCTGTGCTCTTGTTTCCCAACACTTCCGTGAGCTTGCATCTGCTTTACTCTATCGCAGCTTCAATATCCTTTTCCCCGACGACGACGATGTGAGATTCGAGTCGCCAATTGATGGCCTCGCTGGTGGACTGGATACATTCACCACTAGCGACTACAATTATGCAAAGCATCTAAGGGAATTGTCTATGGATACAGTTAGCACTGGCGTCAAAGCTGAGCATGCATATAAACCGTATCTGTACAGCACCAGTTGTGGTAAATTCCTTAATACTTTACTATATCTGACGCTAAAGAAGGCCAAATCTCTCGAGTCCTTTCGGTGTGTTCCACGAATCATATTTCTACCCCGATTCTTTATTGCTAACACTGTTACTAGATGGAATATCCGCGTTGAACTCAGCCGACCTGTATATCGTGAGCTTCATAAGATTCAAACATTGACCAAATTTCACATTCGCTTCCAGGCTGGCGAAACATACTACATCACGCCGCCTCCTCTTCCCCTGAGCATCGATGACCTCCCCTCAACTTCGGCTCACTGGTCAGACATTCCTCCGCCTCCTCCGGGACCACCCCCAGCAATGTTCACGGCTCCCTTGGCTGGCCCTATGACATCTTTGCCAGTGATTTCGTCGCCTCCTCCTCTTCTACCAACCTTGAAGCAGTTTTCGAAATCTAAGGCGAGCAAGCGTGACTCAAAATCACAGGAGCCCCCAACACTTTCGGGCTTCAAGAAGCTAAAAAGCCTATCGGTCCTCGATATAGACAATCTTGATTTGACTACGGAGCTTAAGACTTGCGTCCGAAATTCTTCTGCTACCCTCACAGAGCTGCATCTTTCCCTGTCGGATTCTTTGGCGCTGCAGGCTAGACGGCCACCGCCTGATTCAGATCCGGATGATTCAGATGTTGATGATGAGTTCCAAGTGGTGCCCGTCTCGCAAAGCACCACTTTCGATGCGAGTGGACCAGCGAAAGCTTTCCGCTCTCAGGAGGAGCGTAAACTTCAAGAGGGTATTCTCGGGAAGATATTTGATGTCGAACCTTTCATACTCAAAAAGCATGCGCTTAATCAAAGTCCCCGCGAAGCAGCGACTAGTCAGGAGGAAGGATTAGAAGCCGAGAGTAACGATGCCGCGGAGGATCCCCGCGAAGAATTTGCGTCATCACTTCGCAGTGTGTCGGCGAGGTTGATGGCACAGGATGGCACACGCGATATTTCTACAGCGCAGCAAGATATCCTAGATATCATCGAGAAAGCAGCCAGGAAATATGTGGACTCGGGCGAGCGTCCTTCTCAACAGTCCAACGATTCGCCAGAAAGTTCTGCTGTCGTGGCCAAGAGTGAAGAGCAGTCAAGTGATGGGAATGGCCAGGCAAGTTCAGGACCAGTCGATATGCCCGACTTAGCTGTGCGACCCAAGAACAAAGCATCGAGTGGCGATTTATCACCGGACGATATTGAAATCGAGCATGTCGATACCGTAGACGATCTCGAAGTTGAATCAGATGAGCAGCAAGGAAAGGAGCCAGAGGAAAAACAAATTGAAGACGAAGAATTCGAAAAGCCAAACACGGCATGTTCTTCGGCTGCCATCCTAGAGGACCAGGATACACATCCGAAGACAACCTTAACCACCGGGCTGGGCAAAGTCGACACGAACTTGATTGCGCCGCAAGTGAATTATGAGTCACTTTTGCTGGAATTACAACAGCTACAGGAAGAGAAAGACGCATTTGTTCAGCAGGTCAAGGCAATGTCTGTTCAGGGTACAGCCGTGGAACTCAAGCAAATCAAGGACTCAGAAAACCGGCTCAGAGAAATGCGCCAGAAGACTCGACGTGTCCAGGACGCCATAGAAACCACGCGCCTTGAGATAAAGGAGGCCGAGAGCCAGGTCTCTGAAAAGTCTCAGATTGATGGCAGTGAGAAGTCACAGCGGTCAATCGACGAGTATCTTCGAGATACCAGAGGCGTTGCACTGGAAACACTGGGCATACACCTGATCCCAGTCAAAGCATCTGTTCTCTCAAGGGCCATTGATTTGAAGTGTATGAAGAATCTAACGTTGCTCAACGTCGGTAACCAAGCACCCATCTGGACCTTGCTTTCCAAGGAAAACAAAATCTCCCCATTGGCCCTACGCAGTGTTTTTACCGACAATGTGTCGGCCGCGTTCTTGAATTGCATGTCACAGCTTGAAGAATTGCATGATTTGTTCCTTTTAGAACGAAGTGCTAAACAAAAACCCGAAAGTTTCGCGCCGAGAACCACCGTCACAATCGATCAGATTCGTCGGTTGGTGCTAAAGAAGCACATGCATACTTTGAAAAGGCTGATGATCAAGGACGAGTCAAACAGCAGCGGGTGGGATGCGAACCAGAAAGCAATGATACTTATTTGCAATCGCGGGGTGCAGCTTGAGGAGCTAGCTCTCAGTATGAACATCCACGCGGTGGTAAGTTTGCTATTATCATTATCAGATCTCGCTAACATCTGTCACAGCACGCTTTCATGCAATATTTTGCAGGACTAATCAATCTCCGTGCTATCAACATCCTCCGGTTCAGGAATAACGACACATGCATATGGGTCATGCGTGAGATCTTGAACTTTATCGTGGATAACCTCTCTCACCACCCCGAGCTGAAGCTGGAGTGGATCGCTATGGAGGACGACAGGCTCGATCGCGTTATTCGTCCTACAGATGTGCCAGACGAAGGGGGAAAGAGACGGGCTAAGGGGAAGGAGAAGGCTACTGTGAGCTCTCATCACAATAGCATCAGTCTTCCTGTACTGCCGACCTGGGGTTCGGATAGCGAAAGTGAGGACGAGGATGATGATGCCTCAAATTGTGGAAAGAGACTTCGGCTGAAGACTGTTGGAGTCCTCCAGTTTTATGAGGTCTGGGGTGTTAAGATTTTTGACAAGGAAATCCGATCCGGTCGGCTTTAAGTCTTGGAGCAGAGCTATCTTCGAGGCGCAATTTGTTTTGGTATCGTCGTTGAACTTACGACGGCAGGATGGCGCATATGGGTGGGTTCTGGGATGTTGGAACTGACTGAGGATCAGTCAAGTAAAACGGCTGGGACATGTGGGTGCATATCAGAGGTAATGGTAAAGGGGTTCATATATGATTTATGATGCAATATCCTCCCTTATTGGCTTCAAACCAAGCACAGGCCTTTGTATGAACTGAAACATTACTTAACGTAAGAATTGGATTGGTATGTTGTCTTCATGGGACCTTGTCTCGTTTGCTTTGCCTCCTCTGAACATACTCTGGTAACACATTCCTGACCGGATAATGAACCCACGGTATAGAAAGAAAATCATGCATAAGCAGATTGTTTTTCAATGCGATTCTATCACTCCTTCCATTACCATCATGATGCCCCAGGGTAGCCAGGCTACCAGGATTCGCATGCATAAGTCAATGTGGGCCGTTCGAAGATCCTCTAAGCACCTAATCATAATAAACGATATTATGCTACTGACTGAAAAAGAGAGTAACCACATATCCCCATTCTTCTTGCGACGAGAACACGGAGCAGATATTTTAATTGTTGACTATCTCGTTACTGTAACACGTAATTTAGGCACATATCACCACTTCTCATCAACCAATTTTTCGACCCATATCATCAAGAGCAACTCCGTAACTTAATCATTTCGCCGTGCCTGGTTCTAGGTTTGGTACAGTTCAGAAGTACACTACCCTGAAAAAAAAGATGAAAAAAGGAAAATCGCAAATAAACCCTAGTGTGAGGGAACAGGTATCTAAACTAAAGCATGTATATTTACAGCCTGGAGATGATGGCGGCAGCGTACTCGTTGGTCTTGGCCTTTCCGCCGAGATCACCAGTAAGGGCCTTACCCTCGGCGAGGGTATCGAAGATGGCCTTCTCGATGCGGGTAGCGTGCTCGGTAAGACCCATGTGTCGCAGCATCATGATGGAGCTGAGGAGGAGGGCAGTGGGGTTGGCAAGGTTCTTGCCAGCGATATCAGGGGCGGAACCGTGGACGGCCTCGAAGATGGAGCACTCATCACCAATGTTTCCGGAGGGGGTGAGACCGAGACCACCGATAAGACCGGCGCACATGTCGGAAAGAATGTCACCGTAGAGGTTAGGCATGACAAGGACCTTGTCGTTGTAAGGGGTGGGGTCAGTGACCATCTTCAGGCAGCTGTTGTCGAGGAGCTCGGCGTCGAACTCAATGCCGGGGAAGTCCTTGGCAACCTCCTGAGCGACCTTGAGGAAGAGACCGTCGGAGAGCTTCATGATGGTAGCCTTGTGGACAACGCGGACCTTCTTGCGGCCAATAGACTCGGCGTGCTGGAAGGCAAATCGGAGGACACGCTCGGAAGCCTCACGGGTGATGAGCTTGATGCTCTGGACGACACCATCGACAACAATGTGCTCAATGCCGGAGTATTCACCCTCGGTGTTCTCTCGGATCAGGACGGTGTCGACATTGTCGTAAGGAGTCTCGTAGCCAGCGACGGAGCGGCAAGGTCGCAGGTTGGCGAAGAGGTTGAAGGTTCGGCGGAGGGTAAGGTTAAGAGAGACATGGCCCTTGCCAACGGGCGTCTGGAGGTGGATGTTAGCCATTGTGCAATGTGCGATGCGCCTGATGGCGTAGTTTATGCGCTCATGTTAACGTACAGCGAGAGGACCCTTCAGGGCAATCTTGTTCTTCTGGATGTTCTCAATGGCAGCATCGGGGATAGCGGTCTTGCCGTCCTTGATGATAGGAGTGACATCGACGGGCTCCCAAGCAATGGGGGTCTAGAAAATGCTGTGTTAGTACAAGTGTTTTATTTGGTGACTTATGCAGGTTGGGTTGTCATGACGAACCTTGGCGGCGGCGAAGATTTCCTTGACGGACTGGGCAATCTCGGGGCCGATACCGTCACCCTCAATCAAGCTGACCAGGTAGTTGCCCTGCGCATTATGTTAGTATAATGTCAATTGCAATTGAGGCCATAGCCAAGCATTTTGTTGCGACTGAGCTATTTTATCTCGGCCTCATGCTCGGACCAGCCGAGCGCTAGGATGGTTCAAAAGCTGTGATATGAGAGCGCAAAACGTACACTGGCATCCTTGGTTCCGTTGTACTTGGCAACACGGTCGCCAGAGGTCGAGTAGCATCGGTTCTGAAGTGAGAAAGTAAGTAAATGTTCTTGGGAGTGCTCGGACTAGATTGTAGCGAATCCGGGCAAAATTGTGGTGGTGATCTCATACGTAGAAAATGGCAGCGCGGGGGGCAGCAGTGCGCAGGGCTTGCCTGGAGGCGGGAGTTCGGAGAGCTCGAATGGCCAGCATTTTGAATAGAAGCGAGCAAAGAGACTACCTTGGTACAGCTTGAGAAGAAGAGACGGGATGATTCAAGGTAATGAGGAGAGGAGAGGGTATAATGAGAAAAGCGTAACGACAAGAAATAGAAAGAGAAGAAAGATTAACTCAGGTCAAGAAAACAACTGACCTATGAACTCGACTGAAACCCAACCCCAAATCCAGCCAAATCCGACTCCGAATGGCCAATGCTGTTTTCATAGAGTACAGCCACAGCCTGACAGCAGGAAAAAGGCAACTAGCCACTGGTAGCCACGGGCAATAGCGGGCCAGGTTGTTGTAAATGCCTTGGTAAGTCCACTAATACCCACTATTTCGCGTCTTTTCCAAGCCTTCCCATGGGTTCCTTTCGGCTACAGCCTCGTATACCGGGCGGACTTACGCTTGTCTTTTTTTTTTCTCTCAACTCGCTCGCATTTCGAGGGCTTTGCTCCGAGTAACGAGGGGCCGGTGGGCATCCGCAACCACGGATTTTACTTACCATATCGAGTTACTGCGTTGATGTTTCGTGAACCACAGAAATGCACGTCACAGACAGACCCAAGCTCGTCCCGCCACAATTCCCAACGCCACACTTACAACCCCACAGTTCAGTTGCCAGCCACATCTACAGATGCATGAGAGCTAGGCTAGCTATCCTCAAGCATTAATACAGATGATCATTTACAACAATGCGCTTGATAGATCAGATCCTTACAGCTGATTGTACGGCTTAGATTCAGGTCGCCAACATCACATCTCCATCTCACGGGACAGCTCCTCACGATTGCGCCGACTGGGAATAACATAAGCGCAGCCTTACGAGCATGCGATACATCCCCTTTTTGTCCAACCATTAGGCCACTATCACCGCCACCATGGCCGACATGGAACGTACCATCCTCGACTTTTACCAGATTCCGACATTATATCCTACGGAATGGCCCGCCGAGAAGGACTTGGAAGATCTAGATGAAGATGAAGAGGATGAGAAGGGTGCTGCTTTAAAGCGAAGGCAGTCTCGATATCAGGCGCTTGAGAGAGCTGTGAGCCAACGGAAGAGCAATATTCCTCGAGGGGACGATCAAGGAGGCGTCGGGAATATCGTGCAAAAAGACGAACCAGATCCTTTGGGAACGACTGATAGTGTCGTCAGAACGCTCAAGCATCTTGGTTTACCCCTCCAAGATGACCACCGACTACGTATGTCTTCGCATCATGACATCTTGCTTTGAGAACATGCATTGACTCTTTGCGACTGTATTAGGTAACCGATTTCTCCTTTCCTCGACGACTTTTTCGCCTGCGCTCTTCCTCTCCCAAATGCATGCTACCGCCGATACCCGAAGCCTGCTCACTGGTCTCGATGTCCTCTCACAGTCTATTGACCAAAAGTCAGCCTCACTCAAGGTTCTAGTCGAAACCAACTTTGAAAGATTTGTCAAAGCCAAGGCAACTATAGATAATGTCTATAAAGAGATGAAATATCGAGGAGCTGAACCTCCCGACCCTAACAACCCAGGCCACTCCAATGCAGCCCAACGCCGCAGCTATCGAAACAGTATGGCCGGCGCCGGGCTAGGTATCAATAACCCTTTAACAACCCCCGGTACTGATACACGTAAAAAGAATGCCTTGACCAAAGAGAGCGAATACGGTGTTCTGGGTATCAAGGGCCCGCTACTCGAAGTCTCAGCAAAGGCTGAGGATGTTTGGGGTCCTGCTTTAGGTGGAAGAGAGAAGGAAGAGAATCTGAAAACTGTTTCAAACCACCTGACTCGATTTAAGGACTACGTGGAACTGAGTACCTCGATAGCAGACAGCATCAAGCGAAAGGACTACGAATCGCTGGTCGATGAGTTCACCAGAGCCAGAAGAATTGCAGACGAAAGCCGACAACTGGCAGAGGAAATTGGAGAAGAGACTCCGACAGAACCACAACTCTATCAACTATTGATAGCAGGGCGCATGTGGCATGATGTCGACCAGCAAATTCGTCTATTTAAACGCGATGTGTGGAAGCGGCTCGTCAATCTATATACAGCATCGAGAACAGATGGAACAAGTGGCCGCATACAAGATCAGCATATGGAACTCATCGGCTTACTATTGGAATTGGGTGTTGATGACAACCCAATCTGGGTTTGGCTCTTGAGCAGATATGATCATCTCAAAAGCAAGATCCAGTCGACAGCAGACCATATGAAGGTTGAGATTGAGGTGCTTCGTCGCAGGCTAGCCAGCAACGACAAGCCCAATCCAAGCACGATTGCCGCACATCTTCGATCTCTCGGTCGGCCAGTAATCGAGGACAAGCCCTTAACTTTTGACTCACCTGAGGTGATAGAACTCTGGGAAAAGATGCTATCGTTCCTTACGAGTCTTCTATCAAGTGAAGGAATTTTGGGCGAGGTTGTAGAATTCTGGCAAACTGTGCAAGGATTTATCAATGGCTCCGCCCAAGCTGCCCTTCCTGTAGGATATCGTGGTGAGTCTCGACATCACCATGAGCTGTCGCAACAGAGCATCAACGAGTTGAGAAAGGGGGCCGTGGAATTGGTGGATCTACTTCGCGAACATACCTATTCTTTCTTCGTGGACATGCCCCCCGAAGATGTCTCGTTGCTCTTCTCACCACTTCCTAAGACGCCGGTTCCGGGGACCCCTGGCTCTGACTCGCTGGCATCTCCGCGAGATCCTCGCTTTAACTTTGATCCAAACAATATGCCACCTCCCTCGCCTAAGAGAGGTGAGATTTGGGAAAGGCTGGCTTTTTGGCCTCCATGGTCCAATTCCATCAGTGGTGTTCATTACTTATCAAAAATGCTGACTCTGGTTGGTGCTGGAGCTGGCGACTTGGCGTGTATCGAGCCAGTCGAGTCAGGGGAAGGCCAGGTTCTCGACCGCCTCAGAAGTCTTGTCGGCGGTTCTCGAGAACGTTGCGTCACAGCGTTGTGCGCCGCCTGGAACCGAGATGCTGAAAACATCAAGTTTGTCGAGGATTGGCAGCGTTCGGTTGAAATGGGTGATGTGACACGTATGCCAGCCAGTTTCGCCGCTTTCGAAGGATCAGTACTGTCTGGCATGCAGAAAATTCTCTATATTCCCGATGCCATGTCTAGGTCAGGTTCCGGAGATATTGTCTTGCCGCCACCGACAAAGCTGCTTCAGATGGTTCGCAGCCAATACGTGACCACGTTGTACAAGGCATTGAGTGGTATGGTTGAGAATGCCGAGAGATCGTTGAAGAAGACCGAAGACGACTGGTCGATTGGTGGCGAGACATCCCTTGCGTCAGCCGCAGTGCCGACTATGGCGGGTAAAGGAGCATTAGACTCGGGAGATAGGGTGAGTTTCACACGATCACCTTACACGATCATACCAGACTAACAGTTTCTTTTTAGAACGTTCGTATGCTCATGACCTTGAGCAATCTTTCATCCCTTCGATCGCAGGTGGTGCCCAGTCTTAACCTGCAGTTCGAAAACGCCTTCTCCGTCAAGTTGACTGACGAGTCCAAGAAGATTCGTGAAGTCCTTGGCCAAATTCACGACCGCCTTTTCCAATCCTACACTAAGCACTCGATTGAGAGACTTCGCGATGTCATTCAATCAGGTATCTCGGCCCCTGGCTGGGCCCCTGGTCAAGGACAACGCACACAAGTCGCAAAGCCATACGTCTACGAGGCCCTTCTTACGCTTGTTCTCGTCCACTCGCAGGTCTCCACTACTGCGCCAGCCCTCACAGTCGAAGTACTATCCTTCCTTCTTGAGCAGACATCTACCCAACTCTTGGAAGCATTCCGGCGCCGCCCACGATACACTCTTGAAGCTCTAATGCAAGCGACGCTCGATGTTGAGTTTGTTGCCCAAACACTCAGCCATTACACCTCAGAACGGGCATCAGAGCTGCAGAGTCAAATCTACCAAGAACTCGATGCGCGCACAGACAATGATGCACGCGCTCGTCTGCAGGGCGAATTGACTGAGATGCGCACTGTTCTCAAACGCTTAAGAGAGGCAAGCAAGAATGAATTTGCTTGCTTCAAGAAGCCAAAACGGCCTGGTCACGGTCCCAGCAGGAACAATAGCGGTATATCTGGAATCTCAGCCTAGAAGGCTCTTGAAACCGGTGTTAATATCGCGAATAAGCAAGACAAGGAGGACGATAGCAACATGAGCACAATGGATTCTATAGGTTCAATTGGGTTCTGGATCGAACGAAGTGGTGTATTTGAGACTTTAGCGAAGTAAAGAGCAATGACGAAGCAAGATTAATCATGAAGCTCTTTTTGTTATGAAGTTTGGTAAACATCTACAATGTTTTCCTTCAGGGAAACCCCTTGTTTCTTTTTCTTTTTTCTATGCCGTAAACGCCAGACTTGAGCCGCAGTCCTAGACTTCTATCTGTCGTGTATTTCTTCTCCTCCACAGCGAAACACCATGCCGGCCATAACGCCCCGTGGCTAATCATACACGCATGCATCATGTGGTATCAAAATTCATTTGCTTTTTCCGTCCAGTCATTAACCATTAAACGAGTCGAAATCAAGTTCGCCTGCCCGAGTGTTGTTTTCGCCAAGTACTCTGTGCCTGCGAAAGACATGTACAAGGATTATCTACTCGACCCTGTCAGGGCGAGTTTGTAATGAGAAGATGGGAGCAGAACATCATTTCTAGAGATCGAGAGTCTGCAGGAGAGAAGGGGGAGCCTTCTTGTCGGGATAGGATGGTGTCATCTGGAGGATTTGGTTAGCAAAGAGCTCAGGGTAATCGAAACCAGCATTACTTACAGTCTAAGTCGATACTTTGGAAATAAGCCCCAATCACGGGATCTTGTTCCGAGGTAACAAGTTTGCCCGTCTCGCCACGAAGTGTTTGTGGAAGAGCCTTGCGAATTGCCAAAAGCATCTTCAACAACCCGGCGAGGTTACCACCTTGCTGTGTGAAGACACTAGGGTCTCTTTCCAAGGGCCATCCTGGGCGGAGGTGATCTTGCTCCCAGGCTTTGAAAGCCCATGTCGACTTCTCGAGGCAGTTGAGAAAAATGACGGCTGTCAGGTACATCTTGAAATTGACCTTCACTTTACTGTCCTGCAAGACACGATGCATGCCACTCAAAAGTGCCTTGGACGTGTTGTTGGCCTTTCTCTCTGCTGCTGCATTGAGTTGCATGCAGAGGGTAGTGTAGATGTCGGCGTCGTTCTCACTTTTGGCCTCTTGAATGCGTCTAGGTTCCTCATTGTTGTTCGCCGGTCTTTCGACAACATTCCACTGCCTTTCTCGGTCAATGCTTTCTACTAAACCCCACAACTCAAGAGACTTTCTAAGCAAATCATCCTCTGATTCTTGAAGCTGTTGAAGTGCGAGGTCCAAAGTGACGCGCATAAACTTTGATGGTTCCTTATCGATGAAAAGTTGAAACACATCGCGCATGTAGGCCTCCACCTTTCCGGGAACATCCTCTTTATCCTGATCGATCATGATAACTTGAAAGAATGACTCCTTGCTGCCTCGAATTTCTGCTAATGTCTCACTAGGCTCTAGCAGCGCGACCAAGGCCTCAAGAACAATGACTTTTCCGGTTTCAGGGAAGTGTGATACTTCTATCATAGTACCATCGTGAGTCATGTTTATCTGGTTCTTCAGGAGGTTGATGCGATTCTGGGACAGGACAACCTGAACTCCAGCCGAGTATAAATCGAGCTGTTCCTGCAACCTAGTCCGGACACAGCCAGTTCTCCATACTCTGGGGGCAAGAACCTTTCGACAAGTATCGCATGGGGTCCCTTTGCCGCAATTCTTGCGAAGAATTCTGCATCTAATGCAGGCGCCAATCTTGCGAACCTCTTGAACCTCTTTGCGTCGCGCGGCCGTAAAACGAGACCGAGCATGGCGGGGCCTTCCATTAAGCTGCCCGTCGCTTGTGTCCATTCGGATGCCACCACGAGTCATCTGTATAGGTGGTGGAGGATGTTCGTGAACAAGAGGAACCGGCGAGGCAGTCGCCAAATATGTCATTTCGCCCCATGGCTGTGAGATTCCACTATCAGGCGCGGTGACTGCACTTGGTGACGTTTCGATTGTGGCTGGAATTTCCATCGGTGGTGGTGGAGTCGCGGAACCGTTCTCGTCAACGAGTTGGGGGTCGAGAAGTGATGGGTTCAGTCTAGCTGTAGCAGCAACGGCAACTGAGATATTCGAGACGTCGGGAGAAGCATCGCTGTTTGGAAGCAATGCTTGGAGGCGTTCCTCGGGCGATAGCTCGGTTCCTGGGAGCGGCTGTTGAATTACACCTGCCAGACATGTTAGAAACACTGCTTATAGGCCCATGTTATGTCACCATACCTCTGCTTCCTGGATGCGATCGGTTCTCATAGCTCACTGGAGGGTTATCGAGGGTAAACTGCTCGTGAAGCTCAAAGCGATCCGTAACGTGCTGAGCATTGGCGGGGTCGGAAGGGTCAACAGAAGCTTGTACACTCTGAGCACGGTTGTTCTCGTTCAGATCAACCTGTCGCGAGGCTTCAGCCAAAGTTTCTAGAGCGCTCCATCCTTGGGGCAGATTGGGGACATCGACTGGCTGTCCGTTTGGCTGTGTCTCGGGAGGTGGTCGTTCAGGAGGCGCTCGGGCATTCGTAATACCGTGGAGTTCGAGGCAGGCTCGCATACGATCCGATTCGGATATAGCAGGACACTTCTTGGTGATATGCGTGGTCAGGCTATCTATCCTGCCCTTGGGGAAGTTCTCGCCACATTGCTTGCACGTGTGCGGATATCGATTACTGTTGTCGTTGAGCTTGGGGCCCCGAACAAAGTACTCGAGGATGAGGGGGTTGGGCTTGCGGCCCATTGCGCGCTCAAGGGCGTTGCAAGCGCCTAGCCCACAACCTGATCCTACAAGGCGTTGAATACGCCGATTCCGCCAAAAAGACGTTGCTGGAAAGTCCGGTCAACTTCGCGATGAAAGCAGTATCAACGCGGTAGAGCTGGGAATTGGTGATGGGATTGTGCCGTGGCTGCGATTCTGCCTTTGCAGACCGACAAATTTCTCTCACCGCCTGTGGGATCGGATTTGTGGTTTATCCGGGGGCTGTGGTTGTAGCAAGGAATGGAAAGGGTTTCATTGGTAGAATTTCTCCGATGCTTGAGGTCTTGCCCATTCGTTGAGACATGCACTCTGTCTGTGGTGGGGTAGAAAAAAGTTGCACCCCGCGCTTCGGTTAATGACTGATCTTTAACCTGGAGTCTTATACCACTTATAGGGTTCAACTTTGTTGTTGCCATTGACAAGTTTTTCTTCAAGGTTTTTTTACCATCACACCTCAAAACTCAAAGATGAAGAACATTCAGCGTCTTGAACTGCCGGCTGCGGCTGATATGCATGTTCATTTGCGTCAGGGCGAGTTGATGGACTTGGTAGTCCCAACTATTCGTCGGGGTGGAGTTGATACGGTATTCGTGTATGGATTCTATAGAGAAGATTGAATATTCTAAGGCTAATACAATTCAATAGTATGCCTAACCTTGTATGTTGTTTCCTGTGAAATACATGTATATGGAGAATTGCCGAATTGGATATCAAGATCCCAAAACCACTAACCGTGACTTTAACAGCTCCCTCCCCTTACTGCTGTCGACCAGGTATGATCTCTCCAAGTAATCTAAACGGGCCTATTCTGACAAGAGAAATTCCAGGTGCTTGAATACAAGTCCAAGCTGACTACCATTGCTCAAGATATCAACTTTCTCATGTCCCTTTATGTTAGTCTTGTGTATCCTCACCCTATACCTGAACTCGTTCTCACTCCTATAAGCTTCACCCTTCAGTCACTCCCGAAGTGATTGCCCAAGCTGCCGAGGCTGGAGTCACCGGTGTCAAGTTGTATCCTCAGGGTAGGTTTTGATTGGTCTCATGCTGATGATAGCGTGCTTACATCACGCAGGTGTCACCACCAACTCTGAGAACGGTGTTTCTGATATCACGGCATTCTATGACACATTTGCTGCCATGGAGAAGCACGGAATCGGTAAGTGATACCTCCGATTTTATTAACTCCCGCTTGACATTATTTTAGTCTTGAACATCCACGGAGAAGCTCTCGAGTCTCTTGCGCCGGCTGATACCACGTTGGAAGAGGCTTTCCTCCCCACTCTGAAGCAACTTCACGACCAATTCCCTCAGTTGCGTATTGTGGTAAGTGTGCTTTCATGAAGACCACTTAGATTATTATTAATATAGTTTTACAGCTCGAGCATTGCACTACTGCTGCTGCTGTGGAGGCAGTCAAGGCCTGTGGGCCTACTGTTAGTGGTATAATATCACCATGTTCAACCATGCTGGGAAACTCATTTCTAACTATTTCGATAGCAACTATTACTGCTCACCACCTCTACCTCACTTCACACGAGGCCTGCTGCGACCCCTTTGCTTTCTGCAAGCCCATCCCTAAGAAGCCCACAGACAGGGATGCTCTGGTTAAGGCTGTCGTGAGCGGTAACAACAAGTTCTTCTTGTGAGTCTTTCCTCTGCCTCAATATCAAAATTCTTCCTTCGTACTGATAATTCTAAAGTGGAAGTGACAGTGCTCCCCACTCCCTGCAGTCTAAGACCTCTGCAGAGCAAGGCAAGGCTCCTGCAGGTGTCTTCACTCAACCCTACGTTGTGCAGCTTGTTCTCCTTGGTCTCGAGGAAGCCATCGAACGTGGCGTTATCTCCGAGGAAGAGGTTACTAAGGAGAAGCTCGAAAACTTCTTCAGCCGTAACGGGCGGCGCTTCTACAAGTTGCCCGATACCTCTGGCAACAAGATTGTTTTGGAGAGGAAGGGTGAGAAGATCCCCACTAGTGTCAAGAGTGCCGACGGAAAGTCTGAGGTAGGCATTTCCAGACATGGTACCGAGGTGTTCAGCCTGACATGGGCCTAAATCGACTGCGATCTATCGGTAGTGTCAAGGTAGAGGATGTGCAGATAAAGAGAACAGGTACTTAATACACAACGCCGAGCCTATAGTTTGATCAAAAGTTTATGAGTTTTCTTATAACAAACAGCTTGTTGAGCGATGCTATGAGCAGTTGCGACTATAAAATATTGTATACTGATAACCATAACTCCAGGCTATGCTCTCAAGTTTGAACTAAACCAGGGCAGAAATAAGGGTATCCGGTTTAAGCAAATCAGCTCCTTATCTAGATTCTTCATCATTCCCCCAAACATTACGAAACTCATCCCCGTCTATTCCGTGACTCGACTCATTCGAGGCTGTCCGATGCTCCGATTGATCTCCACCATCGTTCACAGTTCTAGACCCACTGTTCCCCGGACTGGTTTGTCCATCATGACTACCAACCGGCGCAGTCTCAACGGGAGCTGGAGGTCCCTTGTTCAAGCCCAGTTTGCTGGGGTCCGGTTCATCGTGTTTGACAATTCTCTTCGGCTTCTTCTTCTTTTTGATCGTAACAACAGACTCAGCCTGAGTTTCTACTTGAGGAGTACGTGCAGGAGCATGCGCGCTACTCCTTTGCTTCCCTTTGTTGGTAGGTGGATATTCCGCCGCAGGCGACCTCACCGATGGACTGTTGTAAGCAGACCTCCCCCCGAAGCTTCCAGGAGAACGATATCGTTCCCTCAATGGTTCACTAGCTGTAATTACGGGATACTGTTTCGAATTAGAGCGGTGAATGTTCATGGGGCCGATTTCACTTACATTCCAGTCGCCATACTCCAGCTGTCGTGCTTGTTCATACAGACGGTCTTCGTCAGCATCCACCTCTGGTTCCTCAAAAGTTCCATGTGTGTTCTCGTTGATTTGATCGGGTCGATTGTCGCTAGATTCACCATTTCCCCGAAGGAGGGGCGTAGTGGAGTTGACCTCTCCTGGCTTGGGTAGCCAGTACTTCCCCTTTCCACCGCGCTCATATCTCATGCCTTCCTTGAGTCTCGCCAACCGAGATTTGGAATCTTCATGAGCCATTACTTTGTCGCCGGAATCAAAAATCCTATAGCCGTATGTATCTCCTCGGAAGGTTAACTTTGAGTCTTCAATAAGATCTCTAATACCGAATGCGTCCTTGAAAGCGTGTCGCAGTGGCATGCGTGCGGATAAAATGCTGTTGTCTGCAAAATCGTGCCATGAAAAAGCATACCAGTGAGCCACTGCGAAGATGGGCATCTCTACACATATAAGAGCGTCCTGGATAGCCGCGGCAAGGTTGTCTGATGTGTACCCCTCAACATCGTCAGGAATCGCGCCAAGGAAAACCAAAATCGATAGGAAGAAGCCCTGCCAGTATGAAGCAAAAATGATGAGTTTGATACATAGGAATTTTGGTACAGGCCTAAATGGCTTCAGGTCTTTGTTCATGCAAACCCAGAAAAGACCGAGCGCGTACAGGCTGACAGTGACACTGATATTGTAAATGATACCACTCCACAGGTAGCCTGAGGTGAGGCCGATATAGCCTTCCTGATAGGTGCCTGTTGCTTTCATGATGATGGCCGATAGGGCAAGGATAGGCTTTAGCCAAGCATACTGGAGAATGCCACGCTTGATCGATAAAAACGTGTGAGGATCAGAAATATCAACCTTGGGAAGGACATGGTTGAGCGGCCAAAGATGATGCACTGGGGCTCGGCCGTGTGTCATGATGATGAGAGATCGCTCGCCACTGAGATAGTTGATGAGAAGCTGGAAGAACGTGTATATTGTGAATGCTTCGTAGATATCGCGGATCGGATCGAGGAACGCGGCAGCTTTCAGGGATACCATACTGGTCCATGATGCTATCGAATATATAGGCACCATAAGAAGGATTCTGACAACGTATCTTTGCAGAAGAGGTTTGCGATAATTTTTGGCTTGCAGCATTATTGAGCTTTGGATGTTTATTAGCTATGCGCAACGATCAATGCCATGAAGTGTTCATACATTACTGATAGTATTGTCGCAACCACAGATGCAACGCCTGCGACCACCGTGGTGGCGTATGTGAGCTTCTGACCTGTGCCGCCATTGGCCATGACTTCAACGTAACGCTCCATTGTTACGAGGTTTATAGTTCGTCGAAGTTGAGAGTGTTTAGGCGAGCGATAGCTGGAATGTCCTAGCACATGACTGGCGTGCTGCGCAAGATATCTGGTGAGCTGGAGAGGTCGCCGGCGGGAGAATGAAGATATGACAAAGTGTCGAGAGCCTTCAGACCGCGCCGATGACGACGACTTTAAGCCTTTATGAGTGCCGGGTGCAGCCTGGCCATGTACTGCGTTGTAGTCGCGAATGGGACTTGGTGTTGACCCAGGTATGCTGGGGCAAATGATGTATTTGCTGCCTCTGGTGTGGTACGTAAGGGTGTCTCAGGAATGATAGCTCCGGGGCGGCGTATTGTTCATGCGCCCTTACGCCTGCCCCGTATTGAGACTACTAACTGAGCTTTCATGATAAGCTATAGATCTCTCTTTAACGAGGAAACTTCTACTATGATGATAGACAAAGTAAATCTAATTATTAGAGGAAGTCTTTGAACTTTTAGTTTTGCAGATCATCTGCCCAAAGTGAGGCGGTATTCTGTATTCTAGAGACTGCGCTGTGAGGCTCATCTTGCTAAGAGATGGAAGCCCGTTTTGATACGCGGGGATTCATTACAGTGGACGCTAGCCGCTATTAGGGCGACTATGGGCAATGAGAGCTATGGATCCTTGAGGTCATAAAAAGCTTGACTCTAATCACAGAGTGAATAAAACACTATGGTCACATTACACAGTTTTAAATCAGCTCTTAGACTATTTATTTTCTTTCCTTAAGCTCAGACCTTAAGTTTTCTGTTACCCCTTAGGCCACGAACCGCGGCTCCACTACCCTGCATCTTCTACTGACAGGGAATATACATTAACTTTACCTGGATACAACAACCACAGTCCTCCACCGTCGCGATTACTATCCTTAGCTTTCGAGATTGGATGATTTGACTCCTGATTAACCCTGACATCAACAACCCGGACAGCGCATCTATCATGGGTGTTTCACTCACGAAGTACTGCATGATTATTTCTTTACCTTGACTGTCACGAAACGGTAGTTGCTGAAACTATAATGCGACGCATCTTCCTACCTTCCAGTGGAGTTCTGTAAGCTCCATCGAGTCTATTTCAATATGAACACCACAGTCCCAAGCCTCGACAATGCGATTGTTGTAGCCAGGGCTATCGAGGACAACCCCCAATTCAACTAGTATGATCTCCCAAGGTGCCTTAAATACCAAGGTCGTGACTGACTTGAGTGTCTGATAGTAAATTCCTTATTTTTATGGCACTATGCTGTTTTCTGGCAATATTCTTCGTCCTCTATCTCAACCGAGTCTTTGGATCGATCGTATCCTACGCGCTTCGAGCTTATACATGGCACCATTACCGAATTTATATAGATTTTAAGGCCATCCAAATATCCCTTCTTGGCGGGCGAGTATTCTTTACAGGTTTACGATACCATGGCGAGAACGAAACATTCATGGTCCAGCATGGCTACATAACATGGCGATACTGGCTTCGACGAGTCCGCGATGCAGACATAATCGACGCTCGACGATCTCGATCACCCATTACAGATGCCACCCCATCGAATCATATTAAGAACGCGGAACTACCATGCCGTATCCAGGTGGACCTGATCGGGTTGGAGTGGTTCGTGTATAACCGTAGCCCAGCCTACGATGGCATTTTAGCAGGACTTACCGAGACCCACGACCCGGAACCTCACTCGAGCGGAGTATCAGAGAAAGATGAGGCAAACGTTCGGCTTCGAGGACCTAAGAAAGACACAGGCTTTTCGGTTAGCGACGATAAGGAGGCGGATGTGAAAAAGCAGTTGGGCGAACGAGCCAAGAATATATTTCGACGTACGACGACAGGCTTCGGGAGCGTTGAAGACGACGAAAATACAAAGGACGAGAAACCTGAACTACCTTTCATGCTTCGGTTGTTTCCCGTGCACATCCGATGCCAGAAGGCCGCTGCTGTTATAGGCAACGAAAACACAAAGGCCATTCTTGTTGCTAAAACCGACTCGCTGGATGTAGAAGTAGACGCCTTAGAGACGACCACATCTGATCCATATCGACAAACGTTCAAGGTGCAGTTCCAACACCCAGTCATCGAAATCAAAGAGAATGAAGACTTTAAGGAGGACCAAGTTACACGTGCAGCACGAGACCGTGATAACACTCATAATCAAGAAGCAATATCCAAACGGTCACTCTTTCGTCACCATCGTCGAAAAGCCGTCAATTCGCTGCGGAATTTGATTCCCTACTGGCGGCGCTCTGTTGAATCTTTCTCGACTGATTCGCAGACAGCTATGAACACGGCTACTTCTCAGGTTCCTGGGGTCAATCAGTGGCAGGGTTTAACAAGGTATCTAGATGACCGTGATCGAGACGATAGGGCTCGTTGGGCATCTGTCGAATATGCAGCTGTTACAACGATCCTTGATAGCCCTGAAGCTGTACTGACAATCTTCTGGGATGCTGTGGGGAAGGTCCCGGAGCATAGTCACCACGGAGGCGCAAAGCCTTTTCCAATTAGCATCAACGGAGATGAGCCTCCTGCTTGGGGGATGACCTTTGCCATAAAAGGAGGCACTATGAACTATGGTCCTTGGTCTGATCGTCAGCGAGCAGATCTACAACGATTCTTCTTCCCATCGTTATGCAAGGATGCCACACCGGCCAAACCTCAAAAACCGGGAGATTGGAGAGTGGCTACGACGTTCCAATTATCCATCGAGATGGACGATGCAGTCACTTTGAGAGTACCCATTAGGGAGGAATCCAAGAATTGGCGCTGGCGTGGCAAGGAACCACCGTTGCGTCATGCCAAACCTCCAACCAAACGAAAGCAGAGAAACCGGGCGAAGAAGAACAGCAAAGGCGATGCGACTCAGATTCGACCGGCAGGATGGTTGGAAGTGAAACTACCAGCTAACTCATCGGTCAAGTTCGTCATGGATATGCTGGCTAGCTCTACCGGTTACACTACCAAACTCGACGTTGACTTGCCAGGCTCAGAGCTCTGGAGCAGTGTCAATCACGATCTGTTGTGGCGATCTGGCCCTCAGAAGATATCGTGTGATCTGTCTAACCCTCTTTCTTGGAACTCTCTTAGAAATTGGCACTTTAACATCACTAGCTCCAAGATGGAGCTTTTCATGTTAAGAGACCACATCTTCCTAATTACAGATCTTGTTGATGACTGGACAACTGGTCCGCCTGCGGACTATCTGGTATATGTACCTTTCAAGTACCACCTCAACCTCAGCCTGAACTCATTAAAGGTCTACCTCAATGTTAATGAAGCCAATATCATCGACAAAGCCACAGTCATCGAGGATAACACGTATTTGATTCTTTCCAGTCCATGTTTGACTGCCAAGTCCTGCATCCCAGCCGACTCCTTCCGGCCAAGCAAGAATGCCATCCCTTTCGATGTACGTGCTGATCAGTTGGACATGGCACTTCAGGTTCCTCAGTGGAACACACAGGCTGCGTTCCTCTCATCTAAGCAACTGGGTCATATCGAAGGCCTCGTGATAGATGGAAGCTACAATTACAATGCCACAACGTCGACAGCAAACACAGACACACTGATCCTCAATGTCCGTGGCCAATCACCTTATATCTACCTATACGGATTTCTTGTCCGATATGTTATTCTTCTAAAGGACAACTATTTCGGAGAATTTGTCCACTTCCGAACACTAGACGAATACCAAAATCAGCTTCAATTAAAAAAGAAGAACCCGGACGCCGAGGTTGTGACACAGCCTCCTCCCAAAAAGTCCAACGATATGGACGTCGTTTTGGGCGTTAGGATCGAAGATCTCAAGATCATGTTACCGACCAACCTTTACTCGGCTGATCGTTACATCGAGGGCGAGCTAGCTGGTATCTCTGTTGACTTGCGCTTCACTAACTACTTTATGGAAGTCGAGGTTGAGGTTAGCCCCGTGAGTCTCTCGCTAGGGTGCGTTGAAGGCACTCTTGACTCTCCTAGCATGTCCTCGTCCAACACTCAGCTTTTTATCGACGGCCTGCGGATTTTTGGCCACAAGCTCTTTGGACTTCCGCCATCTGAGCCAGCTTATGTCTGTAATTGGGACGTCGATGTGGGCGGTATCACAGGAGAGTGCACAAGTGACTTCCTTGTTGCGATCGCAAAGGGTGGTAAGGCCCTTGCCTTTTGCTTCGACGATGTCGAGAACGCTCTTGTGCCTTACTCATCACTCATCTTCTATGATATCACGTTTGCCCGTATCGCGGTACAATCAATCCAAGTTTGGTTGCACGTCGACGAGGTTGCTTTCCTGATGTCGACTGATACTATCGACATATCTTTCAATGACTGGGCTAGATCTCATTATTCTAAACGCGCTGATATCGTTGTACCAAACATTCAGGTTTCATGTGTGAACGCAGAATCAGCAGGAAGACAAAAGGCGAGACACCCTCATCTGGTTGAAACGGACGCCCACTTCAGAACAACTGTTCGTCTTGCTGTCATTGGACGCAAGTTCAATTTTAGCGAAGAACGACGAATTCAACAGGAATTGGTCCAGAGGGAGGATCAGAGAACACACCGAGTGGAGTTCCTCCTTTTGCCGGAGTATCTGGATGAGCTGGTCCCAGAGCCTGTAGAACCGCCTGCTCAATGCGCACCTCCGCCTCCCCATCCTGCTGTAACTCTCGAGGCTGAGATGGACGATGTCTCGCGCAGGACAGTGACGTCGCGTCAGTCACGGGGCTTGAGCCACAAGTCCTCGTTCCTTTCACTTGCGGAGTCTAGCAATGGTAGCATTGTACTTGGTCAGAGTCAGTATAGAACCAGGTCCAGACCTAAGCAGGAAGGCTACTCGGGGGCAAAGCCTTCGGCAGATAACAGACGGTCTTGGCAGTCACTAGCTTCGTTTGGATCCCTTCGCTCTGCTAATGACGCTGTCAGGGTTGACCCTGCTCACTCGTCTGTTGCCTTTTCAAGTCAGTATGTGTCGCCTC